TTAGATATTTTAATTTGTATACAAATCGCATACAAAATGAAAACCTTGATTTTTAAACTTTAATAACTTTTTATATAAAATTATGAAAAATCTAAAAAACTATAACTGAGCTAATAACTATATATAGAATCTACATTCAAAATTTCATTCAATTATATCGAATGAATGAAAAGTTATAAAAATCAAAAATCACTGTTTTTGGTGTGAAAGGGTGGCCCGAAAGGGGGTGGCCCGAAAGTAGGGTAGTTGACTTATGATGCGCAATACCGAATTTCTATGGTTTGCGAGAATATCTCGTATCTCGTATTCTCGTATGCCTTTCATGAACATTTATTAATCTGATAAGCACTGTCTTTCAGGGATGATTGGCTGCCCCTCCATCTGTGAAAAAAAAACCATGCAAATGAGTTTGAGATAACATCGGAATAAAGCCGTTGAAACTTGACTTTGACAGGTTTCAAGTACGAGTATAAAGTAATACAATGAATGGTTGGGCATGAAATGAAAATACCATCCATCACACAAGTAAATAATAAGCGCCCCTCGCTTCCCATCTCCGAATTCAGTGACAGCTAAAGCCTCGCGTCATTAAATTTCGAGAAAATAATTTCAGCCTTACACTAAAACCTACAGTACATTCAGTACACTCACTGTACATTTGTGCCGACCTTCCTTATCATAGTCGTCGAATATCCATTCTTTCCTATTACTCTCTCTACCTATTAGACCTACTCCACCCACTCTTCTCGCCGGCTCAAACCACCTCATTTCTTAAACACACTCAATAATCTTCAAAATGGTTGCTGATACCACATATTACGAGGCCCTCGGTGTCAAATCCGACGCGACAGAATTAGAAATTAAGAAAGCATATAGGAAATTAGCTATTATCACTCATCCCGGTACGTTCTTCTCTCACCAGTCTTTCGAGATCTATGGTCATTTTACTTCCGAGAGACTGACGTGAATACAGATAAAAATCCTGGCGATGACACGGCGCACGAAAAATTCCAAGCGATTGGCGAAGCATACCAAGTTCTCAGCGATGAGGACTTGCGCAAACGATATGATAAATTTGGAAAGGATTCTGCACAACCTGGGGAAGGATTTGCGGATCCGGCAGAGTTCTTTGGGACAATTTTTGGAGGGGAGGCGTTCTTGGATCTCATCGGAGAGATTTCGTTGATGAAGGATTTGACAAAGACTATGGATATTACTATGCAGGAAGGTACGGAAGAGGAAGAAGAGTGAGTGTGATTCTAATATGACTTGGGGATCTGAGGGGCATTGTGATGATTTGCGGATATCATGAAGGGTTAACTAATGTTGTGATAGATTCCCCGGGACCGAAGCAGCGAAACAGGAGAGTTTAGCCGCAGATAAGGAGAAGGCTGGAGTATCAGCGGCAGCAGATGGCACAACGAAACATGTACCCTCTGCATCTGTGTCCGAGACTATAGATGCCTCTGCACCCGACTACTCGGAGAAGCCAGTAGCCGACCCCAGCCCTACCGTATCAGGAACATCAACCCCCAGACGTACTACGCAAATTCCTCTCCGACCTGCTCTTATGAATCAAACCGAAGAAGAGGCTCAAATGGCTGCGGCAGGTATCACGGAAGAGGAGAAGGAGCTGAGGAAGAAAGATAAGAAAAAGGCCGGTCTATCCAAGGCCCAACGTGAAGAACTAGCCGCTTATGAAAGGGAACGTGCTAAGGCCCGTCAAGAGCGAGTCGACACATTGGCAAAGAAGTTGGTAGATCGTATAAGCATATGGACCGAGACAGACAAGGGGCCCGACGTTACCAAAGCATTTCAAGAGAAAACACGCCTCGAGGTAGAGAACCTCAAGATGGAATCTTTCGGCCTGGATATCCTCCATGCGATCGGCCAAACCTATCTCCAAAAAGCTACCGGACTTCTCAAATCTCAAAAATTCCTAGGCATCGGCGGTTTCTTTTCTAGATTAAAGGACAAGGGAACTATCGCAAAGGAAACCTGGAATACGATTTCTAGTGCCATCGATGCGCAAATGACCATGGAGGAAATGGCCAAAATGGAAGAGAAAGGCGGCGAGGACTGGACGGACGAGAAGAAAGTCGAATATGAGCGTCGCGTAACAGGCAAGATTCTTACAGCCGCATGGCGCGGAAGCAAATACGAGATCCAGAGTGTTCTCAGGGATGTTTGCGATGAGATTCTCAACGACAAGAAAGTCCCCATGGCGAAGAGACTTGAGCGTGCTCAGGCTTTGGTTATTTCGGGTGAAGTCTACTCTAAAGTATGTTCTTTCTTTCCCTCATGTCCTCAAGCATTTTCATACAAGAATCACGGCTAACCAAAATCCAGGCTCAACGCAATCCAGAAGAAGAAGGTGATTACATGGCGTTCGAACAATTAGTCGCCGAGGCCGCAGCCAAGAAAGAGAACAAGAAAAAGGGAAAGGATAAGAAAGAACATGGGCATCATCACCACTCACATCATGTGGATGCACAGGCTGCAGCCGATGATTTACCCAATGTTCCTAAGGCTTAGATCTAGATGCGGGAAGGGGTCATGGGAGCACTTGAGTGGTATAGTATATTATACCTAGCCAAGTTGGCTGCGTCGTAGCTGCGTCGTTTCAATGATATCTCTTGCTGTCGGCGTTACAGCGTGTGTCGAGAGCATGGAGGGGGGTACAGCAGATGTGTATGTCATGGTGTTCGTTTTTGCATAAGGACTGGAATGATAGACTTTAAATGCTTACTTTTTTAAAATCCGATTTGGTTTCATATATTTGGTCGAGTTGAGTCTAGTTGAGTCGAGCAGAGATGAGGTGAGGTGAGGTGAGGTAAATATTTATTGACAACGTAAAGGGGAAGATTTGCTAGACGATCAATCATCGTACAATCATCATTATATCACTCCAGTATAGTATATAGAGAGTAAGATGTTGGGTTAGAAACACATTGATTGAATGAAGAATCTGGAACGAATCAAAGTAAAATTCCATGTTATATCCAGAGTATGAGTATGCACATGTACGAGTATAGCGAAATTTTTATTTTTTTTGAAATAAATAACAAGACGGCGTTTAGCAATGAGTAGGTATCTAGAGAACATCTCTTTTTACCGGGGAGAGTCAGTGAGCCCGTCAGCATGTCGTAGGATATCATTCACATTATTTCATTGTATTCTTACCTTACCTTACCTTATCTTCCCTTGCCTCTCCAGGACAGGACAGGAGTGGACAGGAGTCTAACCAGTGTGAATATCCACAGGATTGATGACCGACCATATCAAGCCCCCTAATATCTATCTATCCGGAAAGGGGAGACCGGGCATTCTCTGTTTCAACACTGCAGATGCAAGTTAGCTCGCCGGGGACGTGGTGTTCTTCTCGTCTTCTATGCATAGGTATGTATACATCTAGGTCACAGGCATACATAGAGGTCTCGAGTCGGGTAAGTAAGTAATCCATCGTATCCCTCTTGATATCAAATCACCCAAGAAGTTCCCAATGTATTCTCAAAAGATTCAGTCATTAATACACATCCCATTATTTCCATCAATATCATGTCCCAAAATTATGATACAGTCATTAAGAAACCTGAGGTACAATGGAGAAGTAGCAGTTTTAGTTCATTAGCGCCGCTCCGCGCCAACTAACTCAGGAGTTAAATAGAGGTATAAATGTGTGCCAAAGCATTAGAGTTCCGCATGATCAAATTCATGTCCCACATTTTTTAATTCCGGGCTAGCAATGTCGTGTTTGGGTATAAAGTTTCCTTTCCTGAGTTCGTTTATGGCGACGTCAAACCTAGCTCCTGCTAGCCATGCTGCGCCAATCTGGGGTATTGTTAGTGAAGGTTTTGATGGGTCAGGGGGTAAGAGACGTACCATAAGTCCAGAGATGACTAATAGTGTCCCTAAGACTGCCATCAAGAGGTAGAAAACATCTTTCTTGGCCTCTGCTTCCTCGACTGCTGATTTCTTATCGGCCACAGATGTTTCACCGGCTTGTTGCAAAGCAATGACCTTTGGATCTTGGGTTGGGAATATAGATTCAATGAATTGTTCGATCTAATGAAGGTTAGGTACTAATTTCTCCTTTGATCAGATCGGGTCACATACCTTTCCGCATGCAATGCTGATCTTGAGGAAATTGGGGTCTTTGGGGGAGTTCTTTTTATGTATCCTTCTTGTATATCTCTTGAAGATATCACAAACTGTACGCAAATTCTGCGAAGATTCCATCATCAATTGACAAGCATCACCTTTTGTGATCTTGACATTCTTCTCGAAAATAGTAGGGTTCTGGAAAACAAGCTCTAAGGTTGCAATTGCCATAGCTTGTGGAATAGCAACGAAATTGAAGACACTCTGATCCTTTATACCTGCCATATAGAACAGACACTCGTCGGCACATGTAAGAGAGTTAAGAACCATTTCTGAACTGCAAGCCAAGGCTGCTGCTCTGTTCTTGGGATCAAAAAGGTCGTCAAACTTATCAACATGTTTTGACCAGATTTCCTTAGGCCAAAAACGTCTCTTGTCATCAAAATCCTCTCGAATATCACGAATGATGTTTGTCTTTTGAAGGAATTGTCCCATGGACTCGGACAATTCTGGTCTCTTGAGCAAAGCTGGGTTTGCCAACTTACTCTCAACAAACAGTCTTGTCAAACCATCACCCACAAGACCAGCCACATAATGACAGTATAATTCATAGTCCTTGATTGTGTTAACACCATTGATGTTGTGTTCCGCATTATTCGCATAATCAGCCATGCCATTGCCCATCTTCTTGGTAATATCCTTGATGACGTCCTTATAAGCAGGTTTGCACTTCTTGAATTCAGTGATGACACAGTCGAAGTGGACCAAAAGTTCTCGATCCTTTTCTTTAGGTCCATTCCCGTTGAATGTCCATCCATCCTCCTCAATGATGCCATCGAAGGCTCTCAATAACGGTTCCTTTTTCTCTAATGGGATTGTCATATCGTCCTCGATGGTATCTAGTCCTCGCAGAATCAGATAGAAGAGGGCAACTGGAACAAGTAATTCGGGGTTCAATTCTTGGATAACTGAACTGAAACTTCGACTGGTCATTTCCAGGTACTTGAAGCAATCTTTGAGAGATTGTGGTTCCTTGGATGGATCTCTGGTATGAACTGGGTCGTGCCATAGCTTCCTGTGTGATATATTAGTGATGGCAGATGAGAAGATGTATTGAGGACATGTACCATTGTAAGATTGCTCTCAACTGATTCGGATGGACAGAAAAGTAAAGAAGGTTTTTGAGGAGACCCATGATGTCGGAAGTGGAGAATAACTTGATGAATTATCAAAGGTTCTTAATGCGCGGAATATGTGCAAGAGTTGGAGGTGAGTTGTTGTGGATATCGTTTTCTGAGAAGATGCGCTCTGTAGGATGACTTAAATGGGGGCAAGTTGAAATTATGAACGGATCCGGTATGTGATTACTAGTCCGACCCCGTATGTTGAATTGAATGGACGTATGAATGAGAGTATGTTGGTAAGATCACAAATATATTTAATGGATAAGAGAGAGAGACAAGTAGGTGAATACTCCTTCTGCCAGCAAATTTCGGGATATTGTGAATGTCACTGTCACCGCCAAATGTAAATGTAGTTTAAGGACTAGTGGATTTACTTGGGTTAGGGGATTCGAAAGTTTTATTAGTGATGGGGTCAATTTTCATGGAAAGACATCAACAAATTGGTAAAATGGCATTTGGACAATCAGACCATTACCAATACATTTTCCATATAAATACAATCATTTATGAGTATCATAAAGTATATTTGCAAATCCTGAGCAGTTTTGCAAGACATACCGGTAACGATTGTGTCCTTTCCGTCAACCTTACTTTGGACTTGAAATTAACCCCGGATTCTCTCTCTTTAAAATGGGTGCATGCACATGGTATAGATCAACCAATCACATCAAATCAACAAATATTCTTTTCAGGAGGCAGCGGGAAGTGTACCGGGCGAGGCTGAGTAGGTATATTTGAACTTGGATATCTCACTTCATCAAATATGATGAAAACACCATCTCTAGGTCTAAGTCGGATTGTTTCTTCCATTTCAACTCTTGCTCCAATTTGACTATATACTTCAATGAGCATTTCACATACATAGCGCCTGGGTTTCCAAATCTAGCTTCCTGCAGACCTAACTATCACAATTGCGATCCACTCTGTTCCCGTACAATACACGTACAGTCACAGTATATATACTCTGGCTTTACCTTTTGTTAAGCTTACGAGACATAATCTTCGCGGAGATCCTTCTCAGAATATCTCTCATTCCATCGCAGATAGTAAAATTCAATCATGACCGACCCCGAACCTCTAGAGAAAGATGTGGAAAAGGCGGAGTCGAAGCCGATGATTGGGGATGATACACACAACAACAAAGATGAGGGGAAAGGGAAGAAGACTCGAACGAGTCAAATCGTCGATATTGCTTGTATTGGTTTGAATATCATGAGTACAGTCTTTCTCGTCTTTTTGAATAAATGGTTTGTGTGAACCAATCTATCTTCCCGAGACACAAAAGCTAAGCATGATGTAGGATATTCAAAGACCCTCAGCTGCGAAAGATGCAAATATCCTTCGCAATGTGGCATTTCACCTGCACAACCATAGTATTATGGCTTGCTAGTCGCCCCCCCTTTAACGTCTTCGTCCCTATTCGATTACCATTTCTCCAAATGCTCCCACTATGCTGTTTCTTCGCCGGCTTCCTCATACTTGGAAATCTGAGTTTGGCATTTAACTCTGTGGGATTCTACCAGTCAGTCATATCTCCTGATTTTTAATCTTCCCAATGCCATACTGATTCTCTTCCCTACCCAGACTTGCAAAAATAATGACCACCCCCTGCGTTGCCTTACTCCAATACTTCTTCCTCGCCAAATCCGTCTCCCCCCAAACCGTGCTTGCCCTCGCCAGCGTCTGCGTTGGCGTAGCTTTAACTAATACTGGAGCCTCCGGAACTACCACATTTGGGGCCTCAATCGCAATTGCTGCGTTTGTGGTAACCGCTTTCTATCAGGTCTGGATCGGCAAGAAACTCACTGATTTCAAAGTCTCGTCTCCCCAACTTCTACTCAACCAGGCTCCGATATCAGTATTAATTCTAGCGTTTTTGGTGCCATTCTTCGATACAAGACCGGATACATCTGTTATCTCGAGGGACACGCTTATTGCGCTGGGCTTGAGTGGATTGGCGGCAGCATTGTTGAATTTGAGCCAATTCTTGATTATAGGAAGAATGTCAGCTTTGACATTCAATGTTGCTTCGAAGTATGTTTCCCTCCCATTTCACTATAACCTCTCATCCAAACAAACACTAATCCCATTTCCCTCTCAGTGTAAAAACAATCATAATCCTCACCTACGGCTGGATAAGTGAAGGCCGAGATCTCACCATCAAAGATGCAACAGGTATATTGTTGGCTTTGGGTGGCGCAACTGTGTATAGTCAGCTTTCGCAGCGGTAGAAAACAGGGTTTACAATAAGGTTATCTAATAAATGATTTTAACGGCCAAAATCGATACGGGTTAAGGCGTAAGATGAATGAAACTACCTAGATAATTAAAAGGCGGAGTGACCAACAATGTATTGGATAAATAGACAGAAATGATGTCTATCTTTTTGGGCAATTGAATGTAGATTTCAAAATTTCTCACTTAATAAGTCATGAGTCTCATCGGGGGTCTTAGCAAGAGCTACATATATAGAAATGCCACCTAGTAAAGCGAGCTCACCTAGGATTATTAATGTTATTACTCCTAGATGAGACCTTACTCTATTATTCATATACAATTCCAACGATTACTCCAAGTAAAACTTACATTGATTGAGCCTTCCCCTCTGCTAGAAACCAGACTAGAGTTATAATGATGTACCGTACCGGTATTTATAAAGCTAAAGCGAGGACGAAACGAGAGGGAGGTATGGTGCACGTATGTATGTATGTATGTATGTATTTTGTACTCGAGTATACCAAAAGGTATAACATAAGGTAGATAAGCTTCAATGGGTTGAGCAGAGTACTTGTACAAGAACCATGACTTTTGATAGACATACATTCTATGGCGTTCGATTACATGTCTAATACTCTCTATACCCATGAACCCATCCACAGTACAGCTCCTATTCAAATGATGGTAACGAAAATTGGGAGATAGATGGCAAAGATACAAGGAAAAGGAAAAAAATGTATGTGTACTGCGCTGCGCAAATTTCTAATATGTATTACATCCTATCCACCTTATCCATATCATATCTTATAATATCGGTATCATATTATGCAATCTACAAGCAGAATCTATCCATCTCCTAGTAACCCATTTCATCCGACTTAACCATAGAGCCTATTTACCGTCTCTCCACCAACAAGAAATGCATCGCCACATATGCCAAGAAGATAAAAGCACCGGCGAAAATTGCCAGATTGATTGCATCTGGCCAGAACGCCTGCGTGTCAAACCCGAAACTACTCAGAATTACCGCGCCGGGAACAGTGATATCGAGTTTATATTTCTGGTCGACAAGCGTCAGATAGGTGACTTCGTTCACGATGAGAGATTCGAATCCGTAATGGAATATGGACAGAGATTGTAGCCAAAGGGCAGATTTAGGGATGGCGTCGTGGTTGAGGAGGAGACCGGCGAAGAGGAGACTAAAGAGCATGACGAGACTTCCAATGAGACTTGCGACGCCGTTATCTTTGAAGACGATACCAAGGAAAAGACAAATGGCAGCCGCGGCGAGGTTGAATAGGACAAGGATGAGGAGGAATTTGAAGAAGTTGGGGGCTTCGGCTACAAGTCCAGTCATGGGGTATAGAATAGAGCCCATAATTAGAGGGGGGATAATGCGAAGTGGCACGATGTCGAACGCAACTTTTGCCAAAAAATATGTGATAGGCGAATAGTAACCGTTTGCTCTTTCTCTGACAAACACCATACGCTCGGTAGCAAAGACGTTCAAACTGGAGAGAGTACTGAAGCCAAAAAGTGCTAGGATGAAGAAGAACAACCCCAGACGGTTCTGGAAGCCTGGAATATCGTCAGTGAGACCGTAAAATAAGAATCCAGAGAGAACAGCCAATAATATCGCGATTGCGTAGTGTGTTAACATCAACATAGGGTTTCTATAGAGATTACGCCATGTACGTTGTGAAAGAATCACGAATTGTCGAAGGTATCCAATCCTTGCATATCCTCTGCCCATAATACTTATGGTTGATGTGCTGTTCTCCTGTAAATGACCATTCATGCTGCCATTAGCATTTTGTGCGGCAGATACAGCATGTTTAAGATCATCTTGAAGATCCCGTGCGATTGGTGAATGTGCATAAGCCGAGACCAGACCATCCAAATCTGTTCCGGATCCGGGTGCATCTGGCGGCAAATTATCTGGATCTTCGGCTATTGAAGAATGTTGTCTCGACATTCTGAGCCAATGTTGATTGCCATCTGGATCAACAGGCGCCTCATCATGTTGAGAATTAGGGGTGTCAACCCCGCTCTTCTTGCGAGTAAAAAGTTCCCGTTCTTGCCTTGCCTTTACAGAGTCACGACGTTTGCCTCTAGGTCTTAATAGAGACTCACTTGGGCTACCAACGACAGCCTCTTCTATGCTACCACCAGAAATACTTGCAATTGATTTCACCGCCCTAGTACTGCTTGCGCCAACGCTTGGTGCAACGCCGTGTCTAAAGTCGGATGTAGTATCATCGATTGGGGTGCGAGGAGTGCCAACGTGCATTGTCAAATCAACCAAGTAATCAGCAATGTTGAATCCAGGTGGACATGAGTAGCCGATATGATCGAAGTACTCTTGGCAGAGATTGAACTCGCCAGAGTAAACGGTTCTTCCTTTTGCAAGCAGTAATAATCTATCGAACAAAGCCACAATATTAGATCTTGGTTGATGAATAGTGAAGATGACCGTTCTTTTGTAGGTTTTAGCTAGGTTGACGAGACATTCGATAACGTTGAATGCGTTGTATGCGTCAAGACCACTCGTTGGCTCGTCGAGGAACAATATACTTGGACTTGTTACCAACTCACAAGCTATACCAACTCGACGCTTTTCGCCACCAGATATGCCGCGACCCTTGCCATCTTCAGAGCCGATCAAAGAATCCTTGATGTGAGAAATTCCAAGCTGTCGCTCAACCTCGAAGACCTTCTGTTCCTTGGCCAATCTTCCCATATCTCTTGGCAATCTCAAAAGAGCGCTGGTCATGATCGTTTCATGAACGGTAAGGGTAGGTAACATAGCATCTTCTTGATCCACAAATCCGATGACACTTCTGTACTCATTATCTGTGACCTTCTCGCCATTGACAAAGAAGTTCCCATGTACGACGCCTCGCTTGTTCTTGCGAGCAAGAATATCCAGAAAGGTGGTTTTACCAGCTCCAGAAGCACCCATGATGGCCATAATCTCGCCAGGGTGAGCTACTCCTTGAACACCGCTTAGGATCTGCTTTCCATTTAGATTGTATGAGACGTTTTCGAAGTACAAGGAGGCCGGTTTATGATCAGTCATTAGCTTGATACTCTCATCATCGGAATCGTCTAGATGAATTGGGCCGTATCTGAATTGCCTTCGAGATAGGTACCAAACTAGCAGAATAACGCCAACAACAAAAAGGGATGCAATAGCGATGACACCTGCGATCAAAGGTGTGTTGATTTTCTTGATAGGACGTTCATATCCTGGAACCTCGGTCTCGTAAAGACATTCTCCAGCCTGGCAGTTGATGAAGATACTACTATCCCCAAACATTTGTTGAATGAGCAAATCCATCTGAGGTTCCTTGAAGGTACATTCATTACTTCCATCTTTCTGTTCGCAATTGAAAGTCGCAGGGCCTCGAATTTCTTGGTCAAGGAAGTCCGAGATGTCAACCGATCCATTTTCACCGCAGAGCATTCGATCCGGAACGCACTTGCAAGCAATGTTTTCACAGTTCGTGCTGGTCGAGTTTCGATCGTAATCGTTTTCGGCTCCCGATGTACAAGTATCCAAGGAACAGTAAAACGACTCTTTTTCGTCAACCCAAAATTGGAAGTCGCAGGTTTCTACTTCGGCGTTGCAGGTAAAAGTAACCTGGGGCTTCTTCCCATCCAAAATATCCACAATCTTTCTGTTTGTAACGTCGCACATCTGATAGTTCTCCTTCACAACCTCGCCATTTTGATAACAGACGCCCCCTTCTTTTTCGGGCATTAAAGCATTACATGCTTTGTCGTTCGTACAGACATTACAGTTGATTCCAGTCCAGCCATCTTCGCAGGCGCACGAGTCCGTTGTTCGCATCGGTCGATCCTGGCCATCTGCTAAAGAACCACAAACTATTCAAGAATCAGTAAAAGAGTTTCCCGGCTCGTACAGTAATTTTGGCGCACCTGGTTGGAGACAGTCATCGCCACCGAATCCTGGTGGACAGGAGCATTTGCCATTGAATTGATTGCAGTCAGAGTATTGTCCGCAAGTGAATGCTGGTAGTAAACAATTGAAACTATATCCAGTTAGCAAGAGATGTTGACATAAATCAAGTAGCGCAGTACCAAGGAGGACAGTCGTCAGGTCGATCATCCATGAGAGCTAACTGAGCTTTCATCGAGTCTATCGTGGAATAATTCGTGAAGGCAGATGCGCTCCATGATAGGGATAGAGTCGCCAAGACTGCAGTCCCTAGCTGAAATCGTTTCATCGGTCGTAGAAAGGTTGCGATAATCGCGATTGTTTGATGGTGGGAGCTTGCTATCGTGATGGGCTTAATGCTGCGGTGAGGTGACGAATCTTGATGCCATATAAATTAAAAGGATCTCATGAACACTTGGACAGAATAAGTAGTGAATCTTGAAGCTAGAAGTTAAAGAAATGGCTCGATAAAATCACCGAAGAAGGGAATAAAAAAATAAAATGAAGTTTGTTTAGAGAGATGAATTGGAAGAAGTTGAACAGTTTGACAGATTTATTAGTGTCATGTCATATCATTCAGCGATGGAGTTTTAGCATGTTCTTTTTAGACGGCCGCCCGGTTATCTTCCAGAGACGGGATCGACAAAACCCGAAGCAGCTATCATGTAGCATCATGTAGGTACAAGGTCTTGGAAGGAGGTTGGATTTGGAACTTGACACGATAAGATATATGAATCTAGTACACCGAGAAGGGTCATATATTAATGATTCTCAAAATCAAAGCTCCTATCAAACCTCATATCAATGAGTCCCTGCACGAGTATCTCATCAATATACTCTACTTGTAAGGGCAAGATTGCCTCTGTCCCGATTCCCGAGGTCCTTATGCGCGACGGATTAGAACCAGAATGTGTTTCTACGGGGTACATGGGCGGTGGAGCTTCACTCATCCTCAATTCCTATTGGAGGTCACTCTTCCCTGTGGACGGCCGAGGTTTTAACAATATCCGCAATTCGACATCCACGCCTTTTCTGATATCAACTTATAGGTTTGTTAAGAATATATAAATCTACAATGTACAGTTCAAGACCAACATCACTCAGTTTTGTCCAAACACTACTATCTCTCAGCCCAAATAATCCATATCGTCGCAAACATGGTCAAGATTGAGCCTTTCGCAGTGGAACAAGTACTACCCCTCATTTCTCCTCCCAACTGAAATGTCTCTAACATTCTGACTTCAGTGGATGGACAAATATGAAACCACACCCAGAGTTCTCAACATTGCCGAAACATGTGCAGCCTCAATCTCGATCGACGACCTCGTAAAGCTGTCCGAAGATCCAAATCTTCCCCATCCAATATCAACTTCAACCAAGCTCACATATGGACATATCCGAGGATCGCCCGTGCTTCGAGAGCGTCTTGCGTCTCTATATTCTGCGAGGACTGCGTCGCCGTTGTCTTCCGAGAGTATACTTATCACGCGCGGTGCAATCGAGGCGAACTTCCTTCTGCTATACACGTTGATCGGACCAGGGGATCATGTAGTTTGCGTACATCCTACTTATCAGCAATTGTACTCCGTTCCACAGAGTCTCGGCGCGGAAGTCTCGCTATGGAAGTTACACAAGGGAAAGAAATATATCCCTGATTTAGAGGAGCTGAAGGGCTTAGTCAAGGATAATACCAAGATGATTATCATAAACAACCCGAATAATCCAACAGGAGCTACGATTCCCAAGTCCGTTCTGCAAGGCTTAACGGATTTTGCGAAAGAAAAGAATATCATTATTCTAAGCGATGAAGTCTATCGACCTCTATTTCATGGAATATCAGTCGCCGACGCAGAGTTTCCTCCCTCCATGGTATCCATGCCTTACGATAAAATCATCGTTACCGGCTCCCTATCAAAAGCTTACTCTTTGGCTGGTATCCGCGTTGGCTGGATCGCATGTAAAGATAAAGCTATCATCGAAGCTGTCGCAGAAGCTCGAGATTATACAACCATTTCCGTGTCGCAGCTTGATGACCAAGTTGCTTCTTATGCCTTGAATCCATCTGTTATTCATGCTCTGCTCGGTCGAAATATCAAGCTCGCGAAAATTAATGTAGCAATTCTGGAGGCCTTTGTTAATGAACATAGCGATAATCTGTCTTGGGTCAAGCCTACGGGTGGCACTACAGCTTTCATCAGAGTTGAAAAGAAAAGGGAGCCGGTGGATGACGTACAGTTTTGTGTGGACGTTATCGAGAAGACTAAGGTTATGTTCCTACCGGGTTCCAAATGTTTCGGCGAGGAACATAAGGGCTATGTGAGGATTGGATTTGTATGTGATACGGAGGTTCTGAAGGAAGGTCTGCAGAAATTGGGTGGATATATTAGGGAACATCTGAAGTGATGAATAGATAGTTAGACGCATGGTTGATTCAAGGAAGGCCTTATATTAGAGTGAGAACCTGAAATACCAAGAATCTTCTCACCCAACACTACACAGCTGTATTGTTCTTGAAAAACACGGCATACTTTATGGTCAATGGTCAAATAACACCTGTCCAGCCCATCATGCATTGTTCAAGTGAAGCGAAGTCTTTCCAATGCGAATGCCAGTCCTTAGCCAGGTGTATATTGGCCCAATCATCCATAATGCAATCAATCGTACATCCCTTGAAAATCAGCCAATACCACACTCCGAGATTGCATAATGTCGACTACCACAGCAAATTCAGATGGCTATCTGGTCTGAATAAGACTGATGAAAGTATTTTCCATTTCTTACCGACAGTCGCACATTCAAATACTAAGAGCCAATAATATGGGATGAGATATTATCAATGTACAGATTTTATTCTATGTATGTATTCTCAACAGAGTATAAATATATATACGTTTAAAGTATAAGCATAATCATATTCATATTTATAAGCGAATGAACATCGTAACGCCATCAGCACTCAAGACCTAAAAGCTTCTCAAGAAATCTCAAGAGCCATTCAAGTTCCTTTCCCCCTATCACAGGAACATACATCCCCATATCCTTCCTGACATCCCCTCCATAACAAATCTCCCTAAACTTTACTTGACCGTCGTTTCTTTTCAGATTCCCCCTGTTAAACCCTGTGCTCGCATTCTCCCATCCTGCTCTTCGAGTACTCAGTTTCATCATACTCGTGCTCTTAACCTTCCTCATCTCATCAATAGCATTTAATCCGCCAATCGCCATATCCATCTCACCCATCTCACCCACCTCATCCATCCCATAACTCTCCATCTCCTCTTCAAATTCAACCGCACTTCCATTCACCACAGATCCAAATCCCATACCCGAAACCCCAACCATCACAGTACCATCACTCAGCAGCGAAGCCTCGAGTGCAGCAGCTTTCGCAATCGCTTTGCTCGAATGCACGCTATATGTGTAGAGAGCGGTGAAGACGAGAGAGGTACCTAGCATGACGTGTAAAGTGTATAGAACGTAGAGGGCGATGGATTTGGAGGTTAGGAGGTAAGCGAGGTTGGAGAGCATATTTTTGATGGGGTGGGTGGGTGTGTTTGGAGGGGGTTTTTTTTTGGTTTGTTTGGATGTTGTTTGGGTGCGGAGTTGATGTTCGAAGTCGAAGTTGGTGCTGGGTGGAAAAGGTCGGGGAGTGATGACTGGGAATAAACTGCGTGAGGCGGGTTTCTGAAGTGAATTGATGGTATGTAGTATATGATTGTATAGTATGATTTATCGTTGATAGTTGAGTTGGTAAGAAGGTTGGGTGGAAGTAGAAGGGAGATTGATAATGCGTTGGGTTGAATTGAGTTCAAAGTAGAAGTATGAAAAAGGCAAGAGCAGATGACTTATAGATACTTCCACTTCCCTTCTAAACCCGCGGTACTGATGACAGAGAGAGTTTTCTCTTTTTTCAAAGCATTGCCCGGTCAGTATATATCGATTGTTGTGATCTCCCTCAATCCCATATTCTGAAGTCATCGTGAACTTGAGAGTTTTCTCCTTGCAAGGAATATGCCCGCAAATCGATTCGTGCCCGTACATACAACAATCATCCCATAGTATTCAGAGGTGGAACCTTTCGAGCGAGCCCAACTGCCAGCACATTCCTCGCGTTAAATGAAAACTACAGCCGTGTTTCAGGGGTGGCCACGTCAAATACGTTCATATAGATCTTAGGAGCTGCGATTATAGGGCTCAATCTTCGGCGCATGAAGCAATTTTCAACGTCGTTCAATCTCTCTGCCAAACGCAATACGTCAGTGCCGAATCGTTCTGGATCATTTGAAAGCAAAACATGGCAGTAGGAGATCGTGGGGTTGTGGTGAATCGTAAGAGAAGGTGGAATAGAGTTTGGTGGCGAGGGGTTCGACGGTATGGATGACCTTAAATTTATGACTTACCCAACCACCGCAATACATCGAAGTCGACGATTGACAATCTTGGCCTTCATTTGTCTTTTTGGGAGGCTGAAAGAATTCGCATATAACAGGAGTAATATTATTGATGATGGGTGTTCCGTCGGAAATGTGATTGTTAAAGTACACATGAAATCTTGAGCTATTGCCGAAGCCTTCAATGTCATAGTACAGACTAGATCGTTCTCTGGTGGAAATCTTGTGTACCCTTGAGTGATTCTTTAAAGCAAAATTGATGTTTTTCATAGGCTTCAGTGAATTTTGAATGTTTCCAGATCATAGAGTCCATTCTCGACACCACGCATCCCTTCTCCATACATAAAACCATCAATATATGCCTCTCCCAGAAGAGTGTGATGATCATCAGTCCTCCTCAGTATCACGGGAAATCTACAGCCTGGGAGGATGCAGATTAAATCATCTTTGGAGCTGTCCAAAGGACCTAGGCCAATGATTCCTGTGTTGGAAACAATCAAGCGACGCCTGTTCATTGTCAAACAAGCAGATATGAGAAGTGCTAATCGTTCCTTCTCATTGAGACATTCCCCGGTCGTCGAAGAAGGAGATAATGGAAACCCGAGCTGTGATCGCTGTTCCGATAACGTTGTCGCAATGGCCTTCATTCGGACAGCGTATTCGATGTCATCTTTGAAAGTCCAATTGCCACAAGATATTGTTCTACAAAAAGCTCCTTGCTCCTCTAATGAATGCCCTTTCTTAGAGACAATGATGTTCCACCACTCTTGCAGAACCTTTAAACCCCTGCCATTATTTTCCTTGGAGTTGAGTTGTCTTCTGAAAGATGAACCGGCCTTCTTCACTTTATCGATAATAACCCCAGGGGTCCGCAAAACATATCCATCTTGAAGAAACTGTACATTAGCATGACTATCACCAGAAGCCATAAAGTGCGGCTCGCTATGCTGAAGTCCGACTATTGTAGGCTGTTGGTTCCTATGAGGCCTCGTCCAGTTGGGTACCCATGAAGGGAGGTCATCGCCATCGGGCGCTTTTTGGTTGACACAAATGATGTCAAGCCTCTGAGAATGGTGAATTATATGCCTTGCAGTATGAGTATAGACGTGACGAACTGACAATGAATAATTAATCTGACCAAAGTAGTTCCTTGAGTTGGATATCCCAACCAATGCATAGACTTTATCTCTCGGATCCGATGACTTCTTACTCTTATGTGAAAGCAAAAGCTCGAAAAGAGGAGGCTCAATAGCATCGGGGACTTGATATCTTGACACTTGTAGCCCCTTTGGACCCCCAGTGGTGAGAGTTCGTACAAACGATGATGATTTTAAGTAAATAGACAACAATAAGTGTTCTTCCCTTTTAAATATATCGCAGGTGTTACTGAGTTCCGTCAGAGATATACTTTCGTCTCCACAAAGTACAATGGCTTCTTTAGCACACGCAACTTCTTGGATAACCCAGATTCTCCACCAATATTGACGACGAAAGAGAATTATCAGGGCCATCAACTGATCGTGTATTGACGTGTCATGAAGCATTGCTATCACTTGGTTCCTTGAACGCACGTTTAAATCCTTTGCTAATCTAATAGCCAAAGAGCTATTGTCATTTTCTGCACCAATCCAAATAGGTACAGCTTGTGCATTTTGAAAGATTGTTCTCATCTTAGCTATCTGGTCATTTCGCTCTGGTATGTTGCTCTGGTCAATGCAAATGGCATCGACCCATAAAAGATTTTCTTCGTCCCCCATTTGAGAACAACGGAGTCTTTTCAGAGCACCAAGGAGGTTTTCTGTTGCGCGGAGTCTTTTTCCATTGATCATTATTGGCTCTGGGGCAATTTTCGCACCCCATGTATAAGACAGCGCTTGATAATTAGGCGCCTTGTTGAAGGCTGTGTGGATAAGCTGACAATGAACACTATCGTCCTTAGTACTCGAGGGAAGAATTCGTATTAATCGAATTTCATCTGTTTCGTAATCCAAGTCCATGTATTGGAAAGGAACAATTGAAAGATCCATTCTGCGTGATGCCATTCTGTTGTTTGGGTAGATTCATTCAGACATGAGAATCTTGTTCGATTGATGAGGTTGCGAAGGAAACCAGTTGAAAAAGCCCGTGAACGGTGAAGAAAGGCTCTGTATGGTAAGCCATACAATCGCTTGTCTGTAACGAGACTACTTGACGCATGCTACATCTAGTGAGGGAGGGCATCTACCTAGCACCTCCTTGAAAGATGTACTCGAGTACTCAAAGTACTCTATATTTCATTGTCACGATCCTTTGGTCACGTCGTATGTTGATAGGGAATGAGATTGGAATCACAAAACTCACCAGATCCGTGCAAACCGGTGCTCAAAGAACGCTCAACCGCTCAACCGTCTCAATGGGTACAGTGCTTAGCATAAGTAGTGAAGTTCCATCTCCTCATCTTCTGTTGATTGCTTGAAGTGCACCGGTACCAAGTTAGGGTCGCGATATGACCGTCAGATAAAATTACACTATTAGATCATGTCACGTTAATCGGTTTTGTTAACTGACAATCGAAGAGGTCTTTTATCTACTCGAGTATAACTTTGGGAACTTCAAAACTTCAAAGTATTCTAAAAGTGTATATATATTCTATTCTGCCCCCCGCCCTCCCCCCGCCCCCCCATATCCCCGCTTCCCCTCTCCCCTCAGATGATGTTGATTCGACAGTCAGATCAAATTGCTTGACAATCAAATCATTCAAACCAGTCAAACCATTCGTCATGATCGCAACCTTATATTGACTTAATATTTGGTGTCCGAAACTAGGAGTCATGACGTTGGTGGAAATATCCCCACATTCTTGAAACCATCTTTGTAGGTGATTGATTCCCTTCCATCTCTTCATTTTCCATTCAATCCTAATTTCATAAATACATCGAATTTATTAGAAATCTCACGATACCTTAAAACAAAAATGTCTTCCGGTTTCTATCTAAATGGTACCCCTGATGAGGTCAAGAATGCAAAGGTTAGTGTAGTTAATCTCAATTTGTATGCTTAGTTTTGCCCAGCTGACTGTGGGACATATAAGGGGCTTCATCTTATAACAATGTCAACACCTAATGGCAAGAAAGTTCAGATCATGCTTGAGGAACTGAAGGCAGTATATGGCACCGAATGTAAGAACTACCCTCTGGAATCAGGGATTTCGACATCTGGACTGCAATCTATATTCGAGATTCTGTAATATCCAAGAATATCTTATCATTGGGCTGCAATTAGAGCTACTGGGAACCTTGTAGCAAGTGTAGATAGTTTTGCTGACACTTAGATCAGACACTCACACTCTTATCAATATTACAAGCAATGAGCAGAAGAAAGACTGGTTCCTGAAATTGAACCCCAATGGTATGTTAAGATGAGAAGCTGGCTAAAGATCACTCCTCATTACTTTGCAGGTCGAATTCCTATTCTGATTGATAACACCAAAACACCTCCATTCCCTGTCATGGAGACAAGTGCAGAGCTGCTCTACCTTTTGAAAGAGTTTGACAGCAATGACATGTTCGGATTTAAGGATGAGCTGGAGAGAAATGAGTGCCTTCAGTGGCTATTCTTTTGGCATGGCAGTGTAAGTTCTTTGTCTTTCTAATCCTGTAACTCTGCTAAACATCTCGTAGGGTGCTCCAGTGAGTCTGAGATTCTCCTTTTATAATTTTGAATCTCTATGATGTTCCTGTGGACTTCACCTCAAAGTTTGCACTTCAGATATGTTGATTCGAACTTCAACATTACTGATGACTTCAACTTGTAGTACCAAGGCCAAGTGAACTACTTTGCCAAATTTGCAAGTGAGAAAAATCCAGGTAAGGAGCCATTCCGTGTCTCTGTATAGAACATTTGAGTAATATCGATGGGTGCATAGGAGCTCTGAAGAGATTCAAGGATGAGCATTTGCGGACTCTTGGAGTGCTCGAGATTCGCCTGTCGGGCAAATATACCGGGGAGCCTCGTGAATACTTGGCTGGCAATGGAAAAGGAAAGTATTCCGTTGCAGATATTGGGACTTGGCGTAAGTTATGTTGATCCTCTGCATGATGCCTTGATTGACAGTGACTTACAGCATGGGTGAGTGGTTGGGACTTCTCAGGCGCTATCACGCAGGAAGATATGAGTGCATTCCCGCATGTGCTGAAATGGGTTGATAGAATTTCTGAGGTCAGTAATGTATACTCAGATTCGGTAACCCTTGCTGATAGAACTAGCGACCTGCCGTTCAAAGTGGAATTGCCAAAAGATGGCAAAATTGGTGATTACTATTTTGTTTACATATGCTTCAGTAGTGTTTAAAGTCATTGACCTATCTTGGGTATCAATTGAGGTTCTCGAGACATGCAAGTATCCATTAATGAAAAGTGCGACTTAAACTTTACTACAACTCAAATGGTATTCTCTCGTTGTTTATTTGAACCTCGACATTCGAGTTCTTTCTATTGAAAAATTACAATCATGCTCAAAAATATGACTTCACAATGTGCTTCCCGTCTTTAGACAACTCAATGTCTTCTTCGCCCAAGAATTGAAATATCAAAAATGCGATATGGAGTTTGTGAGTCGTTTTGGTCCAATTAATTTTATTGGCTAGCTAAACTCTTGTGTTGTTCACCAGTTTACTAGTGTTTCAGGATCCTGTATAAAGTTCGGCTTCCCGCATAGGACTTTGCTTTTTTTTATAATAACAAAAAGCCAATTTATATGATTTGCAATATGAAAACTGATTGTGGTTTATATACAGTAGAACACTTTCTGCTTTGTAGGTATATCTTACTTTCCCTAATAGTTGTTGCTAGTGCCTTTTATTGTTATTGTTGCTCTGTGATATGCTTGCTGTCAAACACAAACTTTTCTGTTGAAACAGTCTTACGTTGCGATATTCTTTTGATCCAGAAAGAAAGGTTCCCTTCGCAAGTGAAGCGGCATCTAGGCTCTTATATCTGAAGTTTCCAACAAGAGAGCTTACTCATACTGTCATGATCTTAAATTTTGCCGAAACTCTTTTTATTTTCAGTTCAAACTACCTACTAAAGATAGGAAAATCGACGACGTCTGCACATGCAGTGATTTCAGGCTCATCGTTTTCAACACAGTGGCATTCTATTGAATAATCCAACGCCTCATTCGATGGAGATAGACAGTCACTACTCTCAAGTCACAAGCACTTCCTTTGGAAATCTTTTGCTTCGAACTTAACACCACCCACCTATATCGCCTTTGTGTAGGCACAAATGTACTAGATACCACGCCACCTGACCTCAAATCTTGCCCCAAATTAAATTTACACATACCGGTACATAAATTCACCCTTTCTCCACCCTCATCTCATTTCAACATTCAATTAGCCAGCAATTAATTGTATCATTCAGAAGACTCTGTACTTTACATCTTACAACCTCTCCAAATCAGAAAGCTAATCAACCATCTTCCTTACAAACAGAAACCCAGATATTCCTATCTTCAAATTTATTTATAAATGTATCCCGCCACCGCTTATGCGCGCCCGCTGGCAGAAGCCAGTCACTTTGAAGAATGGTTGAAAATAGCCATGAGATGGAAGAACGGAAAGGTAACTTGTTGCAGCTGACCTTGTATGACCATGTCCACTAATGACAGCTTCCATTGCAGCAGTATAGATCAGTGGCTCCGACAAAGAAAGAAAAGGTTGACGGGAGCAAGGGAGAACTAGTGGGACTCTCAACACCACCAGCTTCTCCCTTGAAGCCAATATCCTTATCCTCCTTGGACTCTTTAGTGCCGATCCGACCCTACTCAATCACCTGTCCCTTGGTCCTTCCAGTATCCGAATATTCATCGTTGGACCCATTGTGTTTGACGTCACCAGCGGTAGTTGCACCATCCGGTCATGCACTGGTAGCTAACTCGGATTCTACTGCAACATGGGTAGCCAACCTCCCATACCGCAATAAATCCTCTAAACCTCCATATGCTCCTCCTTCTCCTCCTCCAGAGCAAGTATCTCGATTCGAAAACGAGTTCTTCGAAGTCAAAACATCTCCAAAGGGCGGTCTAGGTTGTTTCGCACAGAAAGATATCAAATGTGGAACTGCAATCCATTCCGAGGAACCTCTATTCACATGTTCAGTTCTGCAGGTTCACTACAACTTTGAACAATTGACAGCAGAACAACAAGCTGCCTATATGGATTTGCACTGCTGGCATGGCCTTGCTAGCCACAAGATTGTTGCGATTTATCAAACGAACCGGTACGTCTTTGATTCCCCGTTTTGTCAACACCCTTGATCTTCTTCTCGATGCGCATGGGAGAACTATACAATTAACTCTTTCATCCTACAGGTTCCACATAAGCGGCGGCAAAGCTGGAATCTTCCTCAATTCCTCTCGATTCAACCACGCCTGTCCTGGCTTCCGCAATTGCAGCTACACCTTTCATAAAGACATCAACAAAATGGTCTTCACAACCATCGATGACATAACCAAGGGCCAAGAGCTTACCATTGCATATTCGAGTATTCCGAATCACTTGTATCAAAACTATGGATTCTTCTGCGATTGTCCGTCATGTCCTCCTTGGGAGTCGGCGTACAAGGTGTGGAAAGTTGAGGATGAATTGAGGAAGAAGGAGGCGTTGGATAGTGGTAAGGAGGTTGAGCTGGAGACTTATCCGGTCAACACGGCGTGGGAAAATGGTGTTTATGAGTGGTAGAGGAGAAAATTGGGTGGGATGATCATGGACGAGAGGAAGATTTACGATTTGAGTGAAGGACATTCTTTTGTGACTCAAGCACTGAATTTAACGCTGGATGTTATTTGTCTTGGGATCACTGGAGTCCGAAATTGACGTTAAACTATACTCCCTTGTAAGGGATGTCAGGGGTGGAATATCGATTCGCTATTTTTAATTGTGGGATGGTTTATTATTCGGAATATCATGGTTTTGAGGGATTCTATCTCCTTTCGGGTAAAGTGGATGTACCTCGAGTTATCTCTCAAATTCTTTACCTAGGAAATTGCGGATCTGAGATCATAGGCATCTAGACGACATATGAAATATGAAATATCTTCTAAAATCTATCAAACTGGATTTTTCCATAGCGCTAGGAACAAAATAATATCTTTCGAAAATTCATCTCTACACTCATCCATGAACTCAAACTTGAAACCTCAACGAAGAGTCAGATACTCCAAATGATTATTCCTGGAAATCTAGATCATCGAAGTCACTACAACAAGCAAATTTGACCAAGTAAATTCCTGGTCAAACAAAAACAAGCATCCAAAGCACCCCATCTATCTCGTTAATACAATCATCACAACTTATTACAATCGTCACACTCACACCAATTAATCACACCACAATTCAAATCCAATTTCAACTCCACAACTCCACAACCCAGCTCAGTAGAAGAAGCTTCATTCCATGTGAGCTGTAAACATATACATCCGTTCGAGCACAACGCTTAATCTGGAATTTACTGTTTAGAGAAGCAAATAAAAGGCGCGCTTGGCGGTATGGATTATAATAAGATATCAAGCGTATGAGGAGCTGGAGATTATATTAGAATGACAAAGTACGAGTAATCAAAATTCTATTTGACTACCGGTATTCGACTATCTGCTATAAATGAATACCTAATACATATACATGTGCATACAGGTACGTCACTACGGCACTAGCTAGAGACAGCAGAACATATAATTAAGCCGATGTCTTCGATAAATATCAACTATTGATACCAGTTCTTATTCTTATTCTTATTCTCATCATGAAGACATACCATACCTAGATACATTATCCATTACACATTAATCATAATCCACCCCAACTAAGCGAGAATCCCCAACATCTCTCCTCTCTCTCTCCTATGAACACAAAATTCGGAAACGATAAACCAAGCACCCGCACGCCTCTTGGCGTAGCAGCGATAGAATTAGTTTCCATCATGCTCGAAAATGCGAGAATGGGGTTTACATTTGTTTCTACTTGGTATTATTGGGGTTTCGAGAGGATGGTGATGAATGTGTATTGTGTATAGTATTCGAGTAAAGTATAGGTATATAAAGGGGTGGTTCGTTGGGGTTAAACCGTTAAAGAAGGTCATGTTCTTAAGCTTTTGTCGTTTTAATATTTAGGTGGAGGGATTTAACTTTGGGAGTGGAGTAAAGCGGGTGAGTGGAGGTCGGAGGGAGGTGTTGGGATGAGAGTTGATGTGATGTGATGGTATGAGGTGAGAGTAAAGAATAGGTTGAGGGGAAGGGAATGATGTTAGTTTTGTAGCCTTAATACCGAGGAATCCTTTGACTATCATCACTATCACTTGACTCTTCTCAGTCAGAAACCAATCAACCAAATTTCTCCTTAACAAGCAAATAGGCAGTACAATCGTCGACATATTTTTGACTGCAAGTCGAAACTCGCGGGACTTGATATACATAATCCCAATTATCCCATGAATTCTACTTGAACTCTCCATCTTCAGAACCTCTCTCTTCTCGCCTTGTAGTCCAATTTTAATTCCGGGTTCAAATCCTGGGCGTGGAAGTGGTAGGTGTAAAGTAACAGAACTCAATGTTACCCAGATAGGCATATATTGCACAAGCGAAGCAGGTGTGTGGAATTTCTCGCCGCACATCGTATTTCGTCATCTGGAGGAAATGGTAGTTCCAGTCTTCGTTCAAAGTCATGTTGTTCTTAGAGTGTTAAGTTTTCCGGAATTTCTTGCCATGGATGGAACTCCGAAAGTACACCTTTGCAGATTAACCTTTTTCAGATTTCCAAAAGATGGCTATTCCTCACCCTTCAAACTCCATCCACCTCTTGTCCATCTATCCCATTCTCTTCCGATTTACCAACATCTCTCTTCCTATCCCTATCCTTCGCCTTTCCCTTAATCTTTGCACTAACCGCCTCATGTTTATTTTTCCACATCCCTCCATACCTATACTCCGGATGTATACCATCACCATCCACTTCCCCTCCACTAACATTCTTCCAACATTTACCTGTACATACAAAATGCCATTTCTTCGTTTCGTCGATTTGGCATCGTATCAGTACATCGCGAGGTGTGTGGCATATGGTGCAGGGTTTGCTGTGTGGTGATGGGGAAATAGCTGGTGATGTTGAGTTTGTAGATGGTATTGTGGTCTCGCTGGGATTGATGTTGTGGGAAGTATGTTTGTCAGAGGTGATGTGTTCTTGATTTTTCATATTTGCATTCGTATGCTTGTCTGCTTCGTGTTGCATTGTGTTATATTCTTGGTTTGATATGATATGATATGATATGGTATGTATGGTACGATAGATATGAATAGACCTTGCTGTCAACATCACGAGTTCCCTCGAAATAGATTAACTCGGAATGTCAGTGCCGAAACTTCCCCATATTTGTGGCTGTAAGCTTGGTATAGCTATTGGCATTCTAATGCTGCCGTAATGATCTGAACCCGATATTTTCGGAAAGCATGCGAATGTTAATGGAAGATGATTTTAGTTATCAAAAAAAGCAGCACTGTTTAAGCCACACTTTGCCAGTATCTCTACGTCATTTTGGTGTTCATTTGCCCTATTAGCAAGTTTCCGCGTTACTCCATGCATTTTACCTTGCCTTGCCAAGAATATGGAGTTGTCTTTGTCGCGAAGGTAAAAGTGTATAAAGGAAGCCGCTTCCGTCTAGAAGCTAGCCCTCTCAATTATATGAAAGTATTGATTCAATCAATCCATCAAATCAAACCAATCAAACTCTATATTTTACAATCATCAACAACAAACATTCCATTCCTAATCCTCAATCCCCACACACATCACCAAACTCAATCTTCAATACATTATGGCCGGATCATCTTCCGTAAGTGTCTTTTTGCTCATCAAAAATGATTGAAACCTCTCTTAACAATTCTCCCAGGCCGACGTATTCGCATACATTGTTGCAATCTTCATCCCCCCTCTAGCAGTCTTCCTCAAGACTGCATGTGGAGTTGATTTTCTCATCAACATCTGCTTGACCATCCTTGGCTGGATTCCAGGTGTTATTCGTAAGTCTATGTCTAATAATGCTATATATTTGTTAATATGCTTATAAATTGTATAGATGCTTGGTATGTTATCTCAAAGCATGATCCAGCGACATATGCTCCATGAAGAGGTACGATGAGATAGATGGTAGTGGGTAGTAATTCAGGGCGATGGTCACCCTTGGTGTCACTGAAATACTAAGGGAATTTGGAGTTAACGGTGGTCGAAGGGAATTTCTTCAACGTTTAGTCCGGATGATGATGTCCCAGGAGTAATAGTTATCAGTAATGCGATTCGGTTCATCATAAGGATACCCGAGTATATGTTATAATTCTTCTACATCGATCCTTATTCTCGGATTGATACCTTCTATCCTTTGCCACTGTCTACCTAGGGATTTTTGTGTGAATTGGGTAGGACCGGATAAGACGGATGTTGTAGCCACCAGGTGGAAACAAATTGGTAATATTTAGTTATTATTATTGGACGATCCGACTCTAATAATACGACCTACCAGTATTTTCTAATCAAAATCTTGGGGATGATGAGGAAGAAACTATACAGTAGTATCAATTACTATTAGTGTTTGTCTTGGACCCAAATGACTCGAATGTATGTTAAATGTTAAGCAGGTCCAAGCGAGAACCATTACTAGGGACATATAAATTAATGTTCCTCCCATCCATTCTCTCCAACCATTCTCACCCATTAGCTAGGTATTGTTTTCAAAATCACCTACTCAAGTACTTTCAGATACCATATTCCTATGCAAATGAATAGAGTACCGTCACTCTGTCATTATCACATCAGCTGAATACTCCCTAGACAAGATTCACACTCGTGGTCGCTGCTGTGGCAGTGTGAGGTGTCATCTACAGCTTGGCGCATACTGTATCACGATTTTTTTTATTGGGATAAGAGAATACAAGTATTTGCTTGGACGCGGCATCCCGTTGGACTAAGGGATCATTTGATTGATTACTCACTCATTACCATTTCGACTTCGTTTCATTGACGATCAATGGTCAATGCAATGGTTAAAAGTTTGTTTATATCTCAGGAGAAGTACTCTGAGTTTGCAGCACTCAAAATCTTGAAATTGCTATTGCCAAGAGCCTGGCTGAGTGCTTGGCAGCTGTGTCCAAAACGAATGTGCTGTATTATTATCATCACTCCTTGCTATCCTGCCATCCTGTCGCATTTTATTCACACTGTATTGCATTTTTCATTTTATTTAATTTTACTGCCCAGAGCCTGTACTTTGCTAGTGAATACGCGTAGTGCCTTCAAACCTAACTGATTTTGCAGGTACGAACGAACAAGACAACGATAGCTACTACTGTGGTTCGGAAACACGAGAGAAAGCAATAACGACCTTCGATTTTTTTTAAACTTTTTCCTTCCACCTTCCAAAGTTAAGTTCTCATCATGGTTAACATAGCCCAAAGGCGCAAAAAGAATACAAGTAGCAGCTCGACGGCGCCAAAGGAGGATATTGAAATGGCCACTTCACCCCAAGCACAGGGCCATGTGGCAGAGGTTTCAGTCGAAACTACCGGACCCTCGACTACTACCGCACACCACAACTTATCGGAAACTCTGCACCATATGCTACCTACGCATAGAGTCAACCATAAGGGATACAAAGTTACAAAGGGCATTCAGCCTGACGGAGAAAGTGGCAGAAAAGGCATACATCCGTTGCATTTCTTCAGGATATGCTGGGCCTCAACAAGTGATGCTTCTCGACTTGTCAATATTTTGTGGCCCGTTGTGCCCGCAGCCCTTGCCGTTCGATATGCTAGGCCAGAACTCCATCTGGCGATATTTATACTCAATTACATTGCTATGGTGCCTTGCGCGAATTTGATTGGATTTGCTGGGCAGGAATTGGCAAGAAAACTGCCAAAGGTGTTTGGTATATTGCTGGAGACTACGCTTGGCAGTCTTGTCGAGATGATCCTTTTCATAGTTCTTTTGACAAGGTTAGGGAGTGCCACTCGTTTTATGTTTGCAAGTACTAACCCATGCAAATCAAGAGATGAATATAGTGTCATTCAAGCTGCAATTTTAGGCTCAATGCTAGCTACCTTGCTATTGTGTTTGGGGATGTGCTTTTTCGTCGGTGGTCTGACACGAGATGGTAGGTTCAATAGCTTTGCATTCTTTGCTTTCTCTTGCTGAATCACAATTTAGAGCAGTCATTCGATGAAGCTGTTAGTGAAGTTGGAAGTGGACTGTTGTTGACGGCGTAAGAAGATTATTTCTATGTACAGTCCGAGTATTACTAACCTTCCAAACAGTGGACTTGGCCTCATTATACCCTCGGCATTTGCAACGGCTTTAGAGTTAAAAGCTTCTGCGTCTCTCACGGAAGAGATCATCGCAGAAAAAGTCCTTAATATATCCCGTATTACTTCCGTACTACTTATAGTTGCATATGCCACCTACGTCTTCTTCCAAATGCGAACCCATCACAGCATATACGATGCTATTCTAGAAGCAGACGAACAAAGGGACGAGGATCGTCATGATGATCTACAAAAAGACAAGCTTACCTTTACTGAGTGTGTAATTGCTCTTGCAATTGCAATATCTTTGGTGACTCTCATTGCCATCAGTCTGGTTGAGCAGATTCCTCGAATCGTGGAAGAGCGTGGTATTTCCGATGCATTCATGGGCCTTATCCTTGTTCCTTTAGTTGAGAAGGCAGCCGAGCATCTTTCTGCGGTCGACGAGGCTTACGATAACCAGATGAATTTTGCGTTGTCTCATGTTCTAGGAGCGACGATCCAAACGGCACTATTCAATGGTCCTTTAGTTGTTATTATTTCCTGGGGTTTAGATAAGAAGTTGGACCTCGACTTTGAGGTGTTCGATATCATTGTTTTGATCCTATCTATTCTAGTTGTAGGAAATTTCTTGCGAGATCAAAAGAGTAATTATCTAGAGGGTGCTCTATGCGTGATTGTCTACATCATCATTGCAGTGGCAGCTTACTTCTATCGTGAGTATAACTTTTGACTGTCGGGAACTTTTAAAGTCAATGATCTTTCTTACATATGCTAATTTTGAAATCTTAGCAAACCCAGAAGAGACTACCACCGCGGGCGAGGTGACTCATGCAGCGGTAGAGGTGCTTCATGCCCTTCTTTGATATATCGGTACTCCATTTGAGAAATTTTAAGAGGCGTTCAAAGTATCAAATAGGGTCCAACATTTATGGGAGGAGTTTGATACTGTACCAATGATACCGTCATACACAGTTTTGATGATGATGTAGTGCTTGATGTAATGGAATATCCATAGATTTCGCTCTTAGAACGCTTTCTAGCGACCAGTCACGAAATACCACACAACGGTCAATTTTCATTATCGCAGTTTGATTGACTTGACGCAGAAAGATAAATTCATGTCTTCACCATGTGATCTTTGGCTTTAGCAGCAAATACTGACTCAAGTTGCATATACGATCGTGACACTGATTTATTATATATACTGTACAAAGAGCAAGCAGGGAAGAAGATGTAAGCTTTAAGCTTTAAGCTCCAACAAGATGCTTGATATGTATATCCCTACCGAGTGGTCGGCTACCGAGCCAAGGTTCGCTTATCTTTGCGGAAGTTGGGAGGGCTTTGAGAGTAGTGCCACGCGAAAGCGTTTTTAGCTTCCTTTTTGAGTCTAATCAGGTCCCCCACTAATTTACCCCTCACCACGTCAGTTGACAATTCCTTAGATAAGAAGGTGCAAAACTCAATTGCTTATATCTTTCAAGGGTAGCTAGCTACTTGCTTGTGTCAGTTTACATGGTAGCTACATTGGCGATGTACCGTTAGTACTATCAAGGCACGAATATGGATGATGACATACGAGAAGTAAATGACAATTCACTCAAGCGGATTGAATGTTGTGTTGATCAAAAGGCTACTTCTACTATTCGAGGTACCGTAGTTGAGCTTGTGTGAATACATAAATATGGGCGGGCCCCTTCTGTCATTCCCTTTCTCTTTTCTGTCGTGTAATTCTCAAGCTCTTGTGTATTCTCCACACATACCGACAAGATGCGCAGCTTGAATTCGTTGGCACTTTTGCTTGCTGCTTCTGCTACTTCAGTCGTAGCGATTTTGCCACATCATGAAGCTCATGCAAAATATGCAAAGAGAGCACAACCAAAACAAATTCTTCCTAGGCAACCTGCGGTGAGGTCGAGGTTGACTTCGAAGTATCTGACTAATTCAACTGCTTGTAAGAATTATTCAATGCTATCCACCCCATATCAGATTTGGGACAAAAGAATGTGTATTAATATCAATTCTAGCTTTCGCTGTCAATGGAACCGCATTGCCAGAGTTCGACTTCGACATTGGTGAATCCTATGCTGGAACTTTGCCCATTAGCACAAATGCCAGCGATACAAATCGATTGTGGTTTTGGTTCTTTCCTTCTGATAACCCTTTGGCGGATAAAGAGATTACAATTTGGTTGAACGGTGGTGTAAGTTCCTATTTATAATGCCTTCTTCCTCTTCTGGTCGAGATGATGTAGCTAAAGAACTCTTAGCCAGGATGTTCCTCTCTCGATGGTCTTTTCCAAGAAAACGGGCCTTTCAGTTGGCAATCCGGCACATATGCACCTATCCCCAATCCGTATTCATGGACTAATTTGACCAATATGATCTGGATCGATCAACCCGTCAGCACCGGATTCTCACCTGGAGATATTCTTGTCAATGACGAGATTGATGTGGGTAACCAATTCGCCGCATTCTGGAAGAATTTCATCGATACGTTCAGTATGCAAGGATATAAGATTCACATTACAGGCGAGAGTTATGCTGGACAATATATTCCATACATTGCTAGTAACTTCTTGGATCGCAATGATACCACGTACTACAATTTGAAGGGTATCCAGGTATGTGACTATGAAAGAGCATGCTCATGTTATATGCTGATCAGATATCCAGATCAATGATCCATCGATGAATGATTTCGATACAATGGGCTCAGCTCCTGTTACAGCTGCAGCTCTGTACTATCAGAATGTTCTCAACCTCAACGATACATACATTGCAAACATTACTGCACGAGCAAAGTCATGTGGTTACACCGATTTCCTCGAATATGCATCGGTATTTCCACCAGCAGGACCAATCCCAACAGCTCCAAGCTCGGAAGAATATGGATGTGATGTTTATGATGACATCTACAACGCACTTTACTATGTCAACCCATGTTTCAACATCTATCATCTCACAGACTATTGTCCATTCTTATGGGATGAACTCGGATTCCCATCACTGGGTGGAGGCCCCAACAACTACTTCAACCGCACTGACGTCAAAGAGGTTATTCACGCTCCAGTCGACACTGATTACTTCGTCTGCACTGGCGGACCCAACTTATTTCCACATGGAGATAAATCCGTTGACTCTTCCCTCGGCCCCCTCCCTTCCGTCATCGAACGCACCAACAACGTCATCATCGGACACGGACTCCTTGATTTCCTCCTCTTCGCCAACGGCTCCCTCATCACCATCCAAAACATGACGTGGAACGGCCTCCAAGGATTCCAAGAAGCTCCCTCCTCGACCCAAAACTTCTACGTCCCATACCACCAATCCCTGGGCACCATTCTCTCCATCGTGAACAATGCCATCCCTGATGCACCCCCGCAATACGATACAGCAGGCGCGGGATACCAGGGAACTTGGCATACGGAGAGAGGACTCACGTTCTCGACGGTTAATTTGGCGGGCCATGAGATTCCGCAGTATACGCCTGGAGCGTCGTATAGACATTTGGAGTTTTTGCTAGGGAGAATTGCTAATTTGAGTGTGGTGGGAGATTATTCGACACAGGCGGGGAGTTTTACGGGGATTAGTGCGCCGTTGAAGATGAGGGGGTTGGGGTTGGAGTATTGAGGTTGGGGGGTAATGGATGGGGAGAAAGGTAGGATATGAATATATGACTATATGAAATGAATGAGATGAACATATTAGGGATTTATACTTTGTACATGAAGTCTGTGGGCTTGTGGATACGATACTTAAGGAAGATAAAGGAAGATTATGACAAAATATATGCAAACAATACTTTTGGTGCCTTCGAAACGTAAGAATGTATGATTATCATGCTTTCTCAGTGAAATCGAAGTTTCCATTTCACAATTATATATTGCAATGGTACTGCACCCATAGTTACTCGTCCCCTCTGCAGCAACAGAACACACTTGGTCACTGAGTTGGAAACTTGATATGATATCGAAACGGGATAAAAGGAAACAAGGGAGGTGAGTAGCAAAGACTTCGATTCGAGAGGGGAAGTTCGTTGCCTTCTTTTCCTCCTCCTTCGTCTCCTTCTCCCGCTCACCTGTACTCGGACACTTTTCTACTTGCTCAACCTCAGAATACTACCCTACCCGTAAGGTTATATTGTAAAGATAGAGAGAAGAGAGAACAGAAAATTTCACCGTCAGTATGGATTTATCTGAGATACCGGTACTGTAGTCTTTCTGCTGGGCTTGTTCTGAACTATTGAGGTTTTTTTTATGTGCTACATGGGGTTGTATTTAAGCCACTACCCTACTCGTATATGTAATCTACCGCGCCACAGAACGCCACACCACAAGTTCATCATTGCTTGTTAACATGCATGTGAACCAAGCCCAAAATAAAAATACCTAGGCAGGCTGACCCTCTGAGGCAGGCAGGAGTTAAACCTCTCAACATAAGAAGGATTAGACTACGCAGCTTGGACAATATCTGTGAGTGCTGAGCTGTTCAATCCTCCTCGAGTCATTTTGTTGGGAACACCTGAGAAACTCCTAAGAAACTCCTCTATGATCTCCCAAACAAAAGATCAACATCGTCTTTCGATACCTGTGTTCGACACTCCAAATCCACCATGATTAACAATTCATGGGCTGAATATGTTTTTATACGAATTTGTATTTTTGCACTGCAGAGTATACCCCTCATTAGCTTAGCATATTGCTTTAGCCTTGGATTCACTACATTCTCTACGAATTATGATCTTTACAGACTTCCGCGAGGAGTAGAGTTTGTGTTTTTGGCCGAATCTCTCTTCTTCCTCTTTTGCTTCCTACCATATCGAATTTGGCTTCAGCGAGAAGCTATCCACCCGCCGACCCCTCCACGAGAAGAGAGAACTGTATTATATCAGAAGTGCTCGGATAATATTACGGATCCGGAGGCGTATTTGCAGAAATGGTTTCTAGGTGCGGATATACGAGATATTCGGAAGGAGAATGTGAAGGAGTTCTTTCTTTGGGCTTTCTTCAACCGGGATGGACCTCCTGGAGATGATGATGAGGAGTTGGAGGAATATATTGGGATACTGGAGAAGCAACTGGGGAGGGAGATACCGGAAGGGAGGGGAAATGTTAAGTGCTTGAGGTTGACGTTGGATGAGGTTGTTATGTCGCATAGGAGTTTGATCTGGTATTGTGTGAGTGTGCCTACTTCTCGCCTCCTTTCGATAGAGGATACTAATGTCACCTATCGCAGTGTGTCGGATTCGTCGATTTCTTAACATTCTGTTCCCTCCGCTACCATGGCTTCCACTTCTACCGTACGAATTTCAAACAATCCCTCAGCATCATACCCATTCGTCCGCACAGTTTCCTGACGACTCGACATTCTCCTGCCCAACACATATCCTACTGGCACCTACCTCACACCTCTAAAACTAAATTACCAGTTGTTTTCATTCACGGCATCGGCATCGGTCTCTATCCCTACACCAAATTCCTCAACGAACTCAATGCTTCGACCGGCACACCCGATGATCACATTGGCATTCTTGCCCTCGAAATAATGAACATCAGTTTCCGTCTCACCCATTCTGCTCTCTCTCGCAAGGAAACTGCACACGAAATATCACAAATAATAAGTCAACATTTTGGGCCGGATCAAAAGTTCGTCCTAATTTCTCACTCGTACGGCACAGTGATAACTACGCACCTCTTACGCTCGCCCCTCCTGTCTCCGCGCATCGGCCCTATTGTTCTCATCGACCCCGTCTCTATTTGTCTACATCTGCCCTCTGTCGCATTCAATTTCACACGCCGAATCCCAAAGGACGCCAATGAATACCAATTATACTATTTTGCGAGCATGGATCCGGGAGTTAGTCATACGTTGAGTAGAAAGTTTTTCTGGAACGAGAATGTGTTATGGAAAGATGATTTCGAAGGGAGGAAGGTTACGGCAAGTCTGGCAGGGAGGGATTTGATTGTGGATACGGAAGCCGTGGGGAGGTATTTGTGCTGTGGAAACTTATCTGGGAAATCAACTCCAAGTTTGAGAGCTGCGAATGGAAACGTGGATGTGACTTTGAAGAACACTTCAAATCTGAATATTGCACCCCTGATAGAGATTGATGAGACAGAAGTGGGAGAAGAGGCACGGACTATAGATGTAGATGTAATTGGCTCGGGGAATGAACAAGAAGGAACTCATGATAATGAGGTGGATATGGAGGATGATGAGGAGTGGAAGTATAGGGAGTGGAAGGGAGTGGGGACGGAGGTTTTGTGGTTTGGATCTTTGGATCATGCGCAGGTTTTCGATACGATGGGCACGAGAAGGAGAGTTATTGATGTTGTGAGGAAGTACTGTGAGGATGAATAGAGAGTAGCGAGCGAGAGTAGGACCAGGAGAGATAATTGTATGGTTTCTTGAGTAGTAAGAAGAGAAAGAAGATCCCGGTAGAGAGGGGGTAGATTGGATTAGACGATTAGACGGGGAGACTTCAATTAGATGTATAACTCGGCGAAACTATGCTAGAATTGTATTCGAGTAATACTATAAGAATACCTTCAAGGAGGAGACTGTTTTTAAATCTCATCACCAACCCATAAGATTTGCAATGGGATTATCATACTGTAGCTTATGTACCATCCATTCATCTATTATTTCCTAATCCTTAAAACGGACTTCTTGAAGTAGGAAGTAGGAAGATGTAAAATGTAAGTGTCACGCAGAAGGTGCAGCGAAGTTAGGTGATAGATACAGAATGGTACTCGTAGAAGAGTAGAAGAGGTGAGTTCTTACTCGAGGACTATGATATGTATAGGAGTAAGGTATGGTAAGGTAAGGTAAGGGTTAAAGGGGAGTTTGGGAATGAGGATTGAATTCGGATTGAGGATTGATATTGGAGTGTGTGGAGCGGTACTGGTATTGCGGTATTGCGGTATTGTGAGAGTAAGTTAAGTGTACGAGTAGATATATAGTGGTAGCAGATATAGATAGAGATAGATCTTTGTTATAGAGTGGATGTTGTGGGAAGGAGTATGTGTGTTTTGGAAGTATGAGTGTGTTGGGGTATTGAAGCACTGGAGTATTGGAGCATTGGAGCATTGGAGCATTAGATGGAGTATGGGGGTTACCTATGTAACTCGATCAGAAACTTAAGCCTCAATTGGTATTGGGATAATCTGATGATCAGCCCTCGCATATCTCCTTGATACTTATCATGTCCACGGTCTCAAAGGTCCACAGATTGGATTCGAGGGAGGTGGAGAAGGATCCCGTGCCGTGATGAGGTAGTCAGTCTGACGATAGAGAGCTCGTCGGTGGTGTCGAGGCCGCTGGTTAGGCGGCTGATATGGTCGAATCGGAGATTTACTAATTATAAGTTGGAAATAGTAGTTGGCAAACTGCTCAGTGACCTGGTACCACTTCCTTCCTCTGTGGCACTGTTCTCGAGAGGGAAGTATCGGGAATGTAGCGGAAGCCGAAAGGATTTATGGTGGAAACGTCGAAGCCATAGTTTTTGAGAACTGGAAGAGGAGTAGAAGAGCTTCAGTCAATGAAGATTGAAGTTGCACCGCTGTGGTACAAAATGAAGGAGAGTTTACGATAAGCAGAAGCCGTTAAGTTTTTCCTGCCTGTTTGGCTATCGCAACTCATGTTTTGGTACGATGTCGGCCTGACCAATACTTTATCTTCCAACATTATAACTCCCGTGTTGCATGCCAGCTTAATTAGTATTTTTAGCTACCTCCTTGGTTTCATTCGCCAGAGTACTTGGCTTCTGTTCCTCTGTGTGAGCTACACAAGAGTATGAAATTGAAATTGAAATCCTTGAAAGACTACTAGGTATGCCTAACGAAGAGAATTGCTTTTGTAATTTTGCCTACGATTTCGAGATTTCACAATAGCCCAAACCGAGCACCTGGGTAAAAGCTATAAAATGTAAGATATCTCAAAAGCCGTGTCTTCTTAAAAATAAGAAATAACAAAAACCAAAAAGAAAATGTAACGAAAGCATCCATTCACTGAATGTCACGTTTTGTTTCGCCAGTTACTGGATATCGTACCCCACGGGATCATCTACGAAAGAGAAGTTGTTCCCACTAGCGGCCCGCGCCCGTCCCCGCACGCCCCACTAATTCCGTCATTGGTCACCGGGGAATAGTGCAAAGCTTCAAATCAAATGCAAGCATCCAATCCAAGCTTTTGTTTCCTTTTAGTTTTTTGCTGTAGCAACCAGCGAAATACGATAACTCAAGTAAGATCTTAACAACTTTTCCCCTCTTTGTGTGATATTCTAAATGTATACAACTTTCTACAACAATCTCGGAAATTATCATCAAAAGTATTATAACTTTGACTTTCTTTCCTTCTCTACACAACTCGCAAGAATGTCCGAACAAACCCAAGAACCCCTCATTGACACGACTCCACTTGTGAGACCAGCACAACACGAACGCCAGAAGAGTTTGGAAAAATTGTACGCTGATAGACCTACGGCTCATGAGTTGAGGGAGAGACATATCTTACTGGATACAGATGCTGCGCCGTATGTTTGATTTTTTTCATTCTTCATTCTTTGATCTCTTATTTCTTTTCTGTACGAGGACGAGGGACGAGAAGCTTTTGAACTGTCGCTAATTGCTGGGTAAATACATTGAATAGTGGTCTTCAAAGTGCTCAACATGCACTTGAACAACAAAGAATTTCAGATAGTTTGAAGAAGAATTTGGAACACCGGCCCACCAAGGAGGATTTGGTTGAACGTACGTATTATATTATATTTAATTCCCATCTTTGGGGTAGAAATATACCTACACACAAAAGAAAACCAAACTAAGAGAATGGAAACGACACAGGCAATATCCTCGCATCTACAACAGCAGCCCCGAGTATCCAAGCGCACCAAAAGGAATTGGAGAAACACATGCGTGCGGATAGTTTGAATGAGAAATTGAGTCATCGGCCGCAACCCGAGGATTTACTTCATAAGGGGGTTCTGAAGGAAGATCCGACGAGTCCGATTGAGGGGGGTGATGGGGATAGTGCGGAGAAGAGGTTTGAGGATGCCATTGAGGAGGAATATGCTAGGAGGGAGGGGGGTGCTTAGTTTTGATTGGGGTGAGATGAGATGAGGGGAGGGGAGGGGAGTACTTTGATTTGAGTTGTGTGCGTGAGGGTGTTGATGCTTGAGTGCGGTGTGAATGCAAGAATAAGAAATATGAATATGGGAATGGGAATGATGAGATGAGAAATGAAAATGGGAATGGGAATGGGATTAGGGATAGGAGTGCGAATAGCGTGGGAGGGATGGATGGAATATGCTCCTCTAGCTTTTTCTTTTACAAATTTCTGGCAACCAAATGAATGATACCAAGTTTTTCAGCATCGGTTTGTCTGATTTGTCTTTTCGTACTCGTGTTCTGTCCCCCCCCTCCTCCCCCCCAATAACATGGATGGCATTTGCACGAAATATACCATCTCAATATTCAGCATCTTCCACCGGTATTCATTTCACTTATTCTGTCTGTCTGTAAAAAGCCGAGAGGTATTTATTCGTCTATTCGCTATTGTACTATACAGTATTGGTATCTTATATGTAAGACTACCTGCCTACGCATCAATCATTCGTCCATCCATCCATTCATTCGTCCTAAGCATAATCCCCACATCCAAACCATGCCCTCATCTAATACACCCATGCACAGTGCACTCATGGAAACTTTTGATTTTGTACGCCCCTCGATTTCGTATATCTGTACAACGCATCCCCTTCTCTATGGACGTTGTATGAGATTTGTGCCCCTATATATCTTTGAGGGACAAGTCTCAACATCTATTAACACAACTTCGAAATTTTGATTTTTGATTTTAGTCCTCCCGACTACCTCCAGCCATAGAATCTACTTCTTATGTCTATCGGCTTGTGCCTTTTCATAAGTGGCAATGAGTTCTTTTCTAGATGAGGTGTTAGTATGCGTTACATTCGGAAAGAAAGGTAAAGGAAGATCGATGTTGGAAGAAAAACCTACTGTAATTGTCCCGGCGTTGGAGCATAATGACTAAACTCCATACCAAACTCTCCCTTTCCTTGCGTAGCAGCTCTCAGTTGCGAACTAAATCCGAACATAGCATTCAAACTACAATCTGCCAACAGAGTGAAATCTTCTGGTCCAATATCTGTATCATTGATGATAGCATTTCTCTTGTTCAATAAACCAACAATGTTACCTTGGAACTCATTGGGTGCTGTGATGGTGGTTTTCATGAGGGGCTCAAGAACTTGTGGTCTAGCTTCTTTGAAAGCTTTGCGGAAAGCTTGTTGGGTGGCCATTTTGAAAGCCATTTCGGAAGAATCGGTCATATGGGTTGCACCGTCATTGACAACCATGTGGGTACCAAGAACGGGGTGGCCGAGAAGAGGACCCTTTTCACAAGAGGCGAGGAATCCCTTTTCGCAAGCATACAAAAATTTGTCGGAAACGGAACCTCCAGTAACTTCTTCCTTGAAGGTGGATGGGGCATATCCGTTAGGACCATGCTCAATAGGTTGCAGGAACCCAACGACACGAGCGTAGTCACCAGCACCTCCGGTTTGTTTCTTGAGAGTATGATCGAACACCACGTGTTCAGTAATGGTCTCTCGGTATGCGACTTGAGGCTTACCGGTTTCAACTTCGACCTTGTACTCTCTTCGCATGCGCTCCACGTAGATGTCAAGATGCAATTCTCCCATACCGGAGATGATGGTTTCCTGACTTTCAGCATCCACGTGGACACGGAATGTCGGATCCTCGCGCTGGAATCGATTCATAGCCTTACTGAAGTTGGATCCATCTTTGGTTGTCTTGGGCTTGATAGACAAGGAGATGACAGGATCTGGTACGAACATAGAAGACATTGAGTATGGTAAGCCACCATCGGTGAAAGTGTCTCCAGAAGCGCAATCAACACCAAACACAGCACAGATCTCTCCGGCTCCAATTTCAGGAACCTCCTCCATCTCGTTAGAGTGCATTCGCACAATTCTGGGAATCTTGACTCTCTTATCGGTTCTAGCATTGAACACGTTCATGCCCTTCCTTAAGGATCCTTGATAGACTCGGATATAGGTCAACTGACCATAATTACTTTCTTCAAGCTTAAAGGCCAAGCCGACGAATGGAAGCTCATTGTACGATACAAGTTTAACAGGGGCTTCAGCTCTTCGCCTGTCAAGCGCTAAATTTTCGACTTCGGCAGGATTTGGCAAATAATCACAGACTGCATCAAGCATAGGTTGCACTGACTTGTCTGCCAAAGCACTTCCCATCAAGACAGGTGTGAATTTTAAGGCAATGGTTGCCCGTCGGATAGCAGCCTTCATTTGCTCCATAGATGGGGTCTTCTCATCTAAGAAAATCTCGGCGATTTCGTCATCGACATCGGCCAATACTTCGATCAATAAAGCTCTCTTCTCTTTGCATAGTTGCTTGAGTTCCTCGGGGATCACATCAGTCTCTCTCATAACTTCTCCCTTGGGTCCATCGTTGTAGATAGCCTTCATTCTGATCAAATCGATGACACCGTTGAAGCTGTCTTCTGAGCCAATAGGGACTTGAAGTGCTGCTGCTGGGATTCGTAGCTTTTGGTTGATTTGTTCGACCGCTTTGAAAGGGTTGGCACCCATTCTATCCATCTTGTTGACAAAACTAATACGAGGAATATTATATCTTCGCATTTGCCTGTCGACGGTGATCGTTTGACTCTGAACTCCACTAACAGCGCAAAGAATCATGACGGCTCCATCCAGCACTCGTAAAGCTCTCTCGACCTCAATTGTGAAATCAATATGTCCGGGGGTATCAATCAAATTTACATGGTATTTCTCCTCCTTTCCATCCTCGACCTTTAACCAGTCGCAGAACGTAGCTGCAGACTGAATTGTAATACCCTTTTCCCTCTCCAATTCCATCGAGTCCATCTTTGCGCCGACTGCATCCTTTCCTCGAACTTCGTGTATAGCATTAATTCGTCCTGTGTAGAAAAGAACTCGTTCTGTGACGGTCGTTTTGCCACTGTCGATGTGTGCTGCAATACCAATATTTCTGATCCTCCTCAGTCGCTCTCTCTCTGCGTCATTCAGGTTATCGACAATTGCTTCTTGGGTAAGTGCTGATGGATCCGCGGCCGCCTTTTCTAACACAGCTTGCGCACCACCAGCTCTAATAATTGGCGATTGAGAAAAATGTCTCTTTGCTCCCAGCCCACCGCCGAGTATAGCACTCCTTGCCCCGAGCCTTTGAATAGGGGCATTGAGGCATAAGAATCTTGTTCTCGAGACACTCCCACGTAGCACTCCAGCGCAGGCTTCCTGTGAAGCCACAGCGCGGGCTACTCTATGCATACTCATGGTTGCTATTTGTTTATGGAATCATTCATCTGTTTCAATAATGTGCTTAACTTTTTTTTATTGATTGAATATCGGAGCAAGTTTAGCCGAGTCCGTTCACAACGGTCCATTTTGAATTTCCATTCAATGATGAACTTTGCTTTTTGGAAAACTTGGACTGTGGCCATGGAATTCTGAGACAGAGATGGTTTTGAAGGAACATATACTCCAATACATATGAGGCTGGCATCCCATTGAACATGCCTAGGTTTGTTGGAAGTAATAACTTCAAAAAGCTTACGTAATGCATCGTGTCCATCCTATATCGAAAGCGTGACAGCGCGCGTAAACAATCACCTAGGTACCTAGGTAGTTTGCCCTTTCGCGTTTCTCATTCACATCCACAACAAGTCGAGCATGGACATCAAGAAATGGCATCGGAAATAACAACACCCAACGAGAAGGAGGATAATGAGCACAAGTCTCTCAAATACTCTCTGTTGGGCCCGTCTCTCACGAAATCTGGGCAAGGTTCTGTGGACCAGTCAAAGGTATGTGTTGACTGAAATATACATGTTGTCTCGCTGACTCTATCGTCAGGTTTCCGAAATAATTTACAATGCTTCGAAGGGATCCAAATATTTCAACCATGAGGAGACGCGCGATAAAACCCTCACGATTAAAATCGAACGGATACTGGCAAAGAAGGCTGAATTGGAGAAGCTTGATTTAGCCCACGATCGTCGAAGAGCAGATACTGTAATTGCGGAGCTCGAGTTCACGAGAGATTTGACTCAAACAATCGTACACATTGATTGCGACGCATTTTACGCTGCAGTAGAGGAACTTGACCGTCCGGAGTTGAAAGATGTTCCATTTTCCGTTGGGAAAGGAGTTGTTACAACATGCAATTATCATGCGCGACAATTTGGAGTGAGAAGTGCCATGGCGGGATTCATAGCGAAGAAGCTGTGCCCGCAACTAGTTCAGGTTCCTCTGAACTTCGACAAATATACTGCAAAGGCACAAGAGATTCGGGAGATTCTGGTAGATTATGATCCAAGATTTGAGAGTGCTAGTATCGATGAGGCTTACCTCAATATCACGGAATATTGCCAGAAGAACGATATTGACCCTGAAGCTGCCGTCGAACAATTAAGAAATGAGGTTCACGAGAAGACGAAGGTTACCATATCAGCTGGGCTTGCGGCTAATTCCAAGATAGTGAGTTGTATTCAGCTCGAGAGCGGGCAACATGATGGATGGCGCATCACTACCACCAAGCCTTCCTGCAGAATCTGAGAGTAATTATGAACATGAATGTACTGACTAAATATCATTAGGCCAAGATATGTTCGAACAAAAATAAGCCTAACGGTCAATTTCGTGTCCCAAATGATCGGATTGAGATTATGAAATTCATGCGAGACCTTCCAACCCGTAAAGTCAACGGAATTGGACGAGTATTCGAGAGAGAATTAGGTGCCATAGGAGTCGACACATGTGGCGACATCTACAATGTACGACAATATCTACCCAAATTATTTGGAGACAAAGCATTTATATTCCTAATGCAATGCTATCTTGGACTTGGAAGAACAGACGTCAAGCCAGCCGAGGAGTACACCCGCAAGAGTGTCGGGACAGAAAGTACATTTGGTGACATGAATGATATCTCGGAACTGCGAAGCAAACTTAGGCACACAGCCGAGGAGCTGGAAAAGGACATGCAACGAACGCAGTTCAAGAGTCGAACTTTAGTTATTAAAGTCAAACTGAAAACTTATGAGGTCCTTACGAGACAGACCGCCCCGCCAAAAGCTGTGTGCTCAGCGGACGATCTATACAAATATTCGCTTCCCATGCTCGAGAAATTGGGGACAGAAATTCCAGGTATGACACTACGGCTAATGGGGCTCCGATGTACAAATTTGGTGAGCATGAAAAAGCCTGATACAATGGCATTCTTTGGTTTTCGAAAACAAGACCCTGCAGAGAACGGTGTTGGTGAGAATGTAATTAAATCCCCCTCGTCGGGAGTAAAACGAAAAGCTTCGGATCTCCAAGATAATAATTCAGAAGAGCAATGGGAAGTTTGGCCCGAAGAACTACTCTTCGAAGATGCCGAGCGTCAAGAACGGGAAGAGGAATTCAAGGAAATGGAAAGTCTAAGCCAACTCGAAGAAAATGATCCACGGCGACATCACGGGAAAGAGATCGTGCCGAATCCTAAACCCACAGATGATGCTGTGATAGAAGAGGAATGGTGGAATTGTCCTGTTTGTCAGCGACCGCAAGCAACAAATGAACGGGAATTTAATAACCACATTGATATTTGTCTTTCTAGACAGACAATCAGAGACGTGGTTCAAGAGGCGTCCGGAACGCCTGGAACTCCATCTGCATCGGGGACGGGACATAAGCCTCAAATGAGTAGTTCGCGAAAAGGTAAGGCAGGGGAGAAATCAAAAGATAGAGGAAACACGCCTGGTGACCCAAAACAGCGGAAATTATATTTCTAGCAGTGGGATGCAACAGTGAAGTTTTAATGCATTATGACAGGATTAGGCATCGGTGGAGTTCATTTGATGAGCATTTAGGATAAATGGGGCATTGTTTTTTGCATATATTTTAGATACCCAATAAGCTCCTAAATTGATATCTTGCACTTGGTGTCCGCATATATTCTTCTTGACCTGAAGTAGTCCCTCTAGTTGGGAATAGAGAGGATGGGATGGTTGAGGGTATGTTTCTTTTCTTGGATCATACATTGTGGTTAGTTCCACGTGTCATTGCCGTATTATTCGTCTTTCAAGGGAACACAATATAGTACCGGCAATCTCTGAATATTCTGTCTACCTATCTATCTCTTGTCCCCTTTCACAGCCTGAGGTGGTTTTACTTCCCTCGCTATTTTCCAATTCAGTCCATTGAAGGTAATAGAGACTAGGTATAAGAGATCTCCAAAATTAAATCAATATCTTAGGGTAAAAGAAGGAAAGAAAATACAACTTTACCGGTAGTACAAAAATATGGCATTACTCACTACTCACACTTTTGGCCAATGGAGAGAGAGACAGAAAAACCCTTGATGTGTGCACAGACTCTAACCTTCATACTGTAACCCGCTGCTCCACATATTGCTAGAGCTCTCACCGACCCCTACTTAGCCCTGTTTCTGGGTCTCTTTGACAAACGCCATTATTATTAACAATGTCTGAAGGACATGAAGGACAATTTCAAATTCATCTTCACAACGACAAATCCTCATCCTATAGACCGCGTGAGTCAGTTAATGTCAACGTAAGATTGACTATCTATGGTTTCTCAGAAAGTCTAATGATAATCGGCGAGCAATGATGTGGAAGCCTGCTCAAATGATGATGAACTCGCCACACCTTCGATACTTAACGAGGGTCTGATAGCCTACGCGGATAAGAGGTCTAAGTAAGATACATCCGAACAGACGTGACAAGAAGAAGTTGAGCTATCCCTCGGACTTTGGATACCTTGTCTCGCGCCATGGCAAACATACAGAATAGGTATTTTCTTATAAAGATTCAGGAAGACACCACTCCTTTCCTGGGTCGCAATGTTGGAATATTGTGAGACATCAAACGCGTTCAACCTATATATCTACGATTGCAGGGCGCAAGACAAATATGCAGGATTTCATCTCGTCAGATACGTCTCGATACACGCCATCGATAGCCTGAAGTTCTATCAGATATTACCAAGAGCGCCGGCGAATTCATAGTGTGTTAATTATACCCGCACACGAGTAGCCTGGTAAAGACTTCGTTGGAAAGGATTTGAAACTTACAATTGCTACATTAGAGTATTGGCTGAGCGAAAAGTATTGAAGAAAACTGCCAATGAACCGGGGAGCTCTCCTCAACACTGGAGCTTTCTTGGTGGATTTCAGACGAGTCCTATTGTAGGACTCGAGTCAGGAAACAGGAGGGTCGGCCTGGCTGTTGATGTCAACTTTCTACCCATATCTAAACAATTAGGTCATTCCATTCATGGACCTAAGCGACTTTGCCGAAATCGAAAATCCTGCAATATAGCGGGGCGGAGATGATCTTGATATCATCCCATAAACAATCACTGATGCTTATGAAATACCTTTTGAAAAGCGGTAGGCACACTGTACTTTTCGAATAATTTGTTTGAATTCTGTTATGTTGTAAAGAAACTAGACTCTATATCGTATGACACACATTTTCCTTGCTTGAATACATCCCGTATTTGTGATATATATGTAATCCCGAGCATGGCTAAAACTTCTTCGAGGATATCCAAGGGCAGGTGCTGCCATCAGACATCTATAAATTTAACTGCGAGAAAAGATGAACTAATAATAAGGCAACCAAGACGAAGCTTATAACGATATTCTCAACCTCCGAGAAGTACCCAGCTTGATGTACCCGCTAGTCTTGAACAGCATCAGCGGTCATAAAAATCGAAAATTTTCTTCCTCTATTGTTGCCGGAAATCGTATGCTGTATGACAGGAGCCGTTTTCATAGACGGTGCGTACTATATTGGACAGAGATTGAGAGACATTCCATGTTGAGAAGATACGTAATGACTAGGAAAATATGGCGATGAGGAGACTGATCGATGATGCGATAAGACAGAGGATGAGGGATGGTGAGAAAAAAATCTAGTTTGTTGGCCATCTCTGTATCTTGAGAATAGAACCCGGATCAAAGGAATCAGAACCTGGGATGAGGCAAAATGCTGTGAGTTGTTTCAGAAATTGAAGATCACATCTCATGTTGGGAGAGGATCCGCGTGCCTGTATACTTGGGGACGACAGTTCTGCAAATTACCCCTTTTGCAACCGGTTGCCATGCTTTTTTTCGCGTTTATGGAGGAATATTGCATATTCTCCCTTCCCCGCAGACCGATGACAGCTTCTTAGTAAATATCCGGCAGGATTCGCGGGCCAGATTAGGTTCAAGAACTTTTCTGATTGCAAAACATATCCCAGTAAGAAGCGGGAACGATATTCGGACTATTTGATGCAATATGGATGTGACAGATCATCCGATATAATGTTATCGACTTGCTGAAAGATAAGGCCGTCTCAAGTCTGAAGAGCAATAACAGAAGTGAGCCTACAGGACCCGAATATGTGGCAGATCCAACCGTAGAGAAAAGGAGATAAATAGCGTAAGGTCCCCATAGGCAATCGTTGATGAACACGATGCCGAAATCCTCCGAACGCGCATGGCTTGCTTATCACATAGAAGCTCTCTTCCATAAGCCAACCCATGGCACTGGCCCTGCTGTGCCCGTTCCTTACGATGTTGTGACCTCTCGTGGAGGCCCAATCATCCCGATGGCGAACAATACACTAGAAGCAATGACCACTATGCAGACTATTATGTTTGAAGCGTTTGATGAGTAGTCGGACATGGCCGGGAGGGACTGCATACATTTGCTGGCATTCAGACAATCCATGATGATGGTAAAGTAGGTGATATTATATGATGTGATGTGTTATTGTTGTATCTTCATTAAGTGGCGAGATAGAAATACGATATAAGCTCAAAGTGTGGTACAGCTGGGTGTGCGGAAACTTCGCGAGGGGTGTAGATAGCTACACTGTGTGCGGGAGTCATAGTCATTATGACTGACCGTACATACTACCTAGGTAATGAGCAATCTCGTACGGCAGAGACATGTTGAGAGGTGAAGATGGATGCTAAGATTCCACATATTATTATAGAACACCATCACTGGGATACCTTTGCTCTGTGATTATGTATCAGTATTATAACCCCATCAAATCATACTTGGCATTTCTCAATGTCCTCGGTTTCTACTTCCCTCTGTTCCACTCTCCCTCTCCACGCTTTCCACATGATAGGGATTCTAACCCAACGGGTGATTAATCAGGCTTTCAGGATTTTTAAATACACAAACATGGTACCAGAACCCACCAAAACATTGCTACTTGCAAAACTTTTACTTTTGGGACTGGCATCTTCGGACTATGCAAGTCTAGAAGTCCATGCCATTGTTAACACAGTGCAAGCTCAAAAATACCGTAGCAAAAGCCTAAGAAATAAGGGACTTAAGTAGTGTGCGTATAAAGATGAATATTGGACAAATACAAGTTGGTGTGACACTCGATACTCCGGCATCTCCCCAGCTACTTGTGCAGAAGTGTGGATAGGCATGCTATTGCATCTATCGCTATTAACCATTCTCCTCAGAAAATTAAGTATAGTCAACCGATGATATGCCACTAGACACAACACCTCTCTCGCACATCCTCGCTCGTTAATAGATGACGGGAGGGTTCTTTCGATACTGCGCCATTCACCCACCTTTCGTTGCCACATCTGGGGACTGAGGAGTCGTTACTATCTTCACATATAGGATACAGTGCTACTTGGGAGAAACATGCCTATGCGATGTATACAAGTCGATTTCAACGGGTCGTTTCGATGTGTAAGAAAATGGTGAGATCAGGGAATATATATTTTGGAAACGAGCACAAAAGGCGGTCATTCGCATGGACCCAATAGAAGACCTCACCGGGACAGAACGTTTGCAGGAGCCTAGACTTGAAACGGCATAGAATGGCATGCGCAATGATCTGGGGTAGTGGGTAGATGCACATCGACAGCTATCCCAAGTTCCTTGTATGGACATCTAATGAAACTGTGGGACAAATGAGTGGGCAGAAATAACTTCGCCGTTTAGGACTTGGACTCCGCAATCTCTAAAACATCCATTTCGAGATTGAGTTCTTTCCATGGGCCCAATTCTAGGTTTATGTCCTTTGTCGCCCTTACAGCACTACCCACCATATAATGTGGACCCAACGCAGCCAATTCCATCTGTACATCCGTAACTTCTTGGCCTTTGAACATGATATGATAGTTGTTCGTTATCTCTCCTCTTTCAAGCGAATTGGGATCCTGGACCATGGGCGGAGTTGGACTCCGAACACCACAAATCTCTAACTCCTTGAGCCATGGAGCAAGCAAAGCTTCTCCTGTCATTTTTACATAGGTTTCTCGAAGACACCACATGGCATAAAATCGTCTAAGCTTCGCATCAATGACCTTGTTACTATCAATCCTCAATTGTTCAGCCTTTTCTTCATTGCCCAGAACAACAAGATCCAATTGTCTATTTCTCCACTGGCATCTCGAAAGCGCATCGTTACCGTATCGTTGAAGCTTCTTGCCGGGCACGATTTCGTCGAGTCCAAGCGACGAAAGCTTCATATTATTGATCTCTGAATCTGCAAAAACATCTCCATGCATATCGACCCAATCAAAGAACCCACTCTTCTCGATATATTTATAGTCATGCGACAGTCGTTCGTTGGCGCACACTATATCCGTTCCAACATTGATTGTTCCATCACCCCCAATCACAGCAATTAATGTGACAAGCCCGGCCTGATGACTTACATTGAATTCGATTCGAGGTTGATCGGCGGTAGAGAGATAACAAGGCTTTCCATTCGCCTCTCGCGAAATTGTGCTCTTCGACCAAGGCACATTGCAATATTTCGCAATAACAAGGTGCTTGAGGAGGTGGGAGGCTAAGCTCATTTTCGCATCTTTGGCATGATAATATTTCAGTATCGATTCTTGCTCGGAATCAGAGAGGAGGGCCAGAGCTCGAGAAGCCTAACATCATCTGTCAATTTAGACATGTCGAACAGCTAGCGAAATTTATACACACAACTGTCCTCAGTTCTGCGACCTCCTCTCTAGGCTTATCATTGCGATGGACAGGCCACAATAGCCTTGTATCGAGCAGCCATTGTATGATATACGGCTTCGAGTCCGAGGAAGTCATGGTATCGCAATTGTAAGGCCTGTCGTGTAAGCAATTTCGAGGGGTCTGGCGTCTTCCAACCTTGAAAGAGCTGTGAGCTTGGAGGAAGTTAAGGATGTTTTGGATAAGAAAGCGATTACGTAAGCAAATTGGCGCCGAATACTTTTCTCTAACAGGTCGCTTCCTTTCCAAACCTCTGCTTATAAAGGTTTCTCTCCAAATCTGCTATTTGGTGAATAGGTTCATATATTATTCGCGTTATTCATATTTGATTTTGTTATACCGCTATTGCTTGTTGTTCCACCATATCACCCTTTACGTGTATGGCAAATGTTTGATCCGCGACTTCCTCAATGTTATGGCGCACAGTGTGTGCCACTCAGCAAATTCATTGATGAAAGAAGCATATAACCTTTAGTTAATAATGTTAATAACCTGTGACGGGGGCATTGCAAAGTTGTAAATGTTATCAGGCACCAGCTCTCCACAAGTGTTCAGCCAGCATTAAGAGGCAGCTACCGGTGGATGACCTTGAATGCTCCCTCGCCCGTCAAGTGATTACGCCCCTAAACTTCAATCGACTTGTTTCCTGTTTGAAGATGGCAAGTCAAGAAGCCCTTTTACTCATATCAAAGGCCGATCCGTTGTCTTGGAGACTATCACAATATCTGCAGCAGACCAAATTCCGTAGTGGTCACAGTTCCTGACACCTCCATCAATCATATTTTCTCTCCGTCCTCGATGGCTTACTTCCTTATTCTATGGCGATACTCATAATACAATGCGGAAGCTCGATCGGGCGCGTTTAATCTAGAGAACCAGATGCTGTGTCCTTGAAGCCTGGACATCAATATATTGCGGCATTACTGTCTAAGCTGGGGACAATCCGCATCTGAATATTTCGATGGGACTGCATGGCGAAGCAGCGATGAAACCTCATGTAAAGCGAATGGCGGAATGGAATCTTCGCAAGATATGTAAAATTTCGAACAGAAAATATCTTCACGCTCGACGAAGGCATTCTGTGTGGAAAAATTGGATACAGCAATGACAATCTCCGTGTCTTATCCAGAGAGTCATGTGCAGCTATACTCAAATTACAGAATGGAACTTACTAATTCCAATTAGACTGCGTAGTACTTTTTGGCGGACTCTCAGACATTAATTTCCTTACTGGCGAAGCTATGATCATATCACCAATAACTGGTAGATTTGGCGGACGCGCTGTATGTTGGCATTGCCAATGGGCGCTTCATTGATTGATTGTGGTAGGAACGAAAATACTCTCGCGGCTCTCAGTAAGATCTATACAGGCAATGTTGGCGGCTTCCGGCAACGGAAAAGGGGTGTCGTCGCATACATTGCTTTTTTGCCTAACACAGCTGCCTATTCAACCCATGTTACAGCGGCGATGGCCGCATTGAAATCGTTTGATAGAGCGGCATTTATAAGTGGTATATTTGGCAACATTGGAATCAATTGTATGTCACTCATGATAAAAAGCTTGCGAATATAGGGGGAATTTATGCATGACAGAGAAAATGTGGTAAGGATGATCGAAATGATCGAAAAGGAGAATCTAAAAATGGGTGCAGGTGCAGGTATGACAGTCATTGGCAAGTATGGATTGGATGAGATTGACGAAGCGACAAAAATAGCCAAGAACGAGACTGGAGGACAGACAAGGTCTTATTCGCCATAATCTAACGGTGTGTTTCACCTGCATGTCACGATAACGATTAAGGGACCTTGAAGCACCAGACTTCGAATGGATAAAGGAGAGGTCTTACATTTTTGGAATTCCCGCGATCATTTACCCAATTGGGACTATTCTACCACAGATACGTTCCGTGAACATGTATGCGGGTCTTTATGCAGCTTACTTCGTGCGATATACTCAATTTTCCAGCCCCCAGATCAAAATTTTCCATGCAAGGCTGAGGCACATCCGCAAAACCATGAGTTTTCAGGGATGAAGAATATTCGGTAAAGTGTGCGGTGTTCTACGATAGGGAATCCACCATGTATCAGACAGGGTAGTTACGGTTACGTTAGGCAGGCTGTATTCTAGAAACCTTCTATATTCCCGGTCTGCTGCATGTGTATCCAGTCACATTATCTCGTTGTCGTCATGAATGTCAGATGGTACCTGGTCCTTTCTCGTCATCGTAACATTCGATGCAGGAACCAAAATATTTCCACATGGCTTTTATCTGGGTCTATGTAACCCAAGAGATACACCGGCTTGATGGTGGGGGCCTACACTGGTTGTTTCCAAATTTGATGCCACTAATAGTCTCATATATGTTTCCTTCCATGCATAGAAGCATTTTCTCTCTGATGATTAAATATTCCAAACATTGTACAAATGTCCATGATTTGTACACAGCTCTCAGTATCCTCGATTTTCCTACTTTGGCACCTCGCAAAACGGCCGTCATATTAAATGGCTGGTGGTTTGTCTCAATTTAATTCTCTCAAGCCAAGTCTACTGCTAAATACCGATAGTTGATGCTATGGCAACCCCCAGTAGGTCGCCTTCATACTATGGCGATGTGAGTAACGAGTTCTATCCTTCAAACTTCGATGATTACCACAATAATATCGATCAGTCCCTTGATTTCGGCCACGTCCCGTCATCGGACTTCTACCTCGGCCCGGAAATGTTCTTAATTCCTCAAATGCTTGGTGAACAACCTTACTCTTCTCAGCCTATATTTACCGGTCTGACGACGTCCATGTACGACCAATTACAATCCCAGTCGTCTCATTCTGGTACCAGCAGTACCGGAATCAGCAGCCAAACACAGCTTTCACCTAGAGCCTTCGATGAAAACCTAAGACAAACACCCGTAGAGTCCCGAAACACCTCAGAAGATCTACAAAACTATTACGCAAAGGGCGAAAGGTTTTATGAGCATGGGCATCATGAAGATGTAGAGCATTTACGCAAGAAACGGAGACCGTCTGAGGACAAAAAGGCACGGGCATCAAGCTTTCCACAGGCAAATGTCTTCAAGTTGGATTTGAGGATTCCATCAAGTTCCCAGATGGAGTTGAAACCCATAGCATCGCAAGAATCTCTAAGCTCGGTTTTTGAGGTGAACGTGAATCAACAACCAAAGCGCAAAGCTCGTAGCGCCTTCACGCCACAAGGAAAAAAGAAAGTGGAAGCCGTGAGAATTGTTGGTGCTTGCATCCAATGCAAGTTCAGAAAACGAACCGTAAGTTTATTAATAACTCTACATGGAAACAATTAGCTGATGACTGCAGTGCGGGACAAGCGAGCCATGCATGTTATGTATTCAACGGACTGGCAGCATGGAGTCCGCGGCAACTCTGTGTACAAGAGAATCGCCTTTCATTGAATTCTCGATAACTGAATGTAAGTACCCTAGACTCGCGAAAAGACTATGATATTGACATTACAGTTTACTCCAGCATTTACTTCAAGCGTATGACTGACTTTAATACCGACTTTTTCGGCGTGGATGGTCAACGTAGAATCATTAAAATTGATGGCAAAGGACCTACCTCTTCTCCTTTAAATCTCACAGTTATCGAAGTGCAATCCTCATCCCTGAGTGAAGAAGCACTAAACGAAATTTGCCGAATGACTAGACTCAACCCTGGTCTAGGTCCTTCATTCCAACAAAATGCCGGCCCAGATCGGACAGTTACAATCACGATTTTGGATTTGGAATTCTTTACATCAACAGATCTTGAGAACTGGGTCATGGAATACACATATGATAACAAGCTTGATAACGTGAACTCTACCTCCTTTCTCTTCGGTGTCGCATACGCTAAGGAAAAGCTGCCTCATGTAAGTCGGACCATGCATTTAGACGGAGTGAGTGATTCCAAATGTCACTAACTCAGAGAAGGCAGATCTAGTAGAAAACATGACGAAGCTCATTGCTCTAAATCATATGCTCTGCAATGGATTGAAGATTATATCATTCACTGGCCAGCAAGATATAGCTACCTTGTACCCCGCATTACGAGCACAACTCGACACAAAACTCTTCAATCTCCTTTACAAAGCCGAAAAGCTTGTGTACCAAGAGCTCCAACGACTAGTATTCAAAACATCTGGACAATTGCCGAAAGATGCTGTTGTTCCTGTGGCGTTAGTGTTGTGGTTGCTTACCAGGTTGCACAGTCTGAAAGCGAGTTATCTCATCAATTTAAGGGAAGGAAGTGATTTTTGTGCGTGTTATTCCACTGTCATCTCGCTCATTTTAATCTTTTATATTGGGGTTCTAACAATCCATAGCATCAACAGGAATACCAACATCAATCGCCTCCCATCAAAAGCACGTTCTCAACCTCCTCATAAGCGTTTTAACCGCCCTGTTTCGATCATCATTTCCACTCCTCATGAACTTTGAAGATGAATGTAACAGAGATATATTGGGAAGAAACGAGGACCTGATACAATTATCCAAGAAATTGAAAAGAGATCTGATAGTGTTCAAAAGGAGAGGCTATCTTCGGGTTTGGAAATGGAACAACGGATTCTTGAAAGAGCAAATCGAAAGATTGAGGGACGTATTAGCCGAGTAAACATCTAAGGGGTTGGAAAAACGGAAATTAAAAATTATCCTGTATAGTATTGTAAGAAATTTGGGGGTTTAGGGGCTATTGTTTGAGTGTGAGTGCGGGGGGGTTGGGGGGGCATTAGTTGGTTTTCTACGGAGCGGCTTGTACAATGTAATAATTATCGTGAAACAAAATAGGAGAAGATGACGGTCTATGAATGTACAAATACTTGGGATATATGGCACAGTCTGGAATGATGTGAGAACCTTTAACTTGGGATGGTTTCAGTACCGTGAGATTGCTACCAGGCAACATTTATTCAGGGGTGGGAGATCGATGCAGCCACAGTACTGTCAAAAGCCATATTCCACTTGAAACCAGGCTGTCCTCTCCTTTCTATATTCCTCATAAAGATACTACATACATCGAGGCATCAACTAATGATCATACCTGTAGCAAAGCGAAGCGGGAAATCGTCGGGTATGAACCTTTTCCGGAGATCTTGATACCCGATATACCCGGCTATGCTATTCGGGTCACGGATCCGTTAAATGTATAATAAACTTGTGATGCTTCCCACGATACGTCTGTTCGGTGCCTGAATATCGGATTTGAAATTAGAGGGAAAGGTTATTAATATTCATCGTTCATTGTATCAATCTCGCTGCAATATTTCAAGATAATTACTGTATGGTTCACGGGTCAACATGCAGATCTCGGCGAAGATGCCGAGGTCCAAACCACAAGTCGGTAGTCTCATGAAGTCGATCATCAGCATTCCCTTTGTACCTCAATAATCCCATCAATATTTCGATCCCCATAGTGTATTATAGCATCACTGATATATCCAGAAAATGTCTATTCCCGTTGCAACCTTAAAGGACTCCCCATTGCCGTCAAACGACAGCGCGCATGAACGATTTGGCTGTCCAACCCCGTATGCTGAGCCACTATGGTATTCCCGGAACGTCTCTCCACATTACACAACTTCTCATCGCACACTTCGAGCCGCAGTACGAGAATACGTTGATGAAGAGATTTTGCCGCATGCTTTTGATTGGGAATCTGCGGGCAAAGTACCGGACTCGGCACGTGTATAGCTCGTGACCTTGGTGAAGTCTTCTAACAGGTCGAGCAGGCATTTCAGCGACATGCCGGACTAGGCTATCTGGCTTTAAGTACAGGACTTCCAGATGTAAAGCTGCCTGGGGATATTAATTTTGATGACTGGGACTCGTGGCATACGTTAATTGTTACGGATGAGTTGTCGCGTGTTGTAAGATCTAGTTTTGGACTCCCGACTATCCTCTATACTAATGCAATCTAGGCATACACTGGTGTATTATGGGGTCTTGGAGGGGGCAATGGGATTGGAGTTCCCCCAATTGTTAATTTTGGGACAGAAGAACAGAAAGCTAAATTTCTACCTGGTGCTGCCAATGGTAGCATAAGATTTTGTCTCGGCATCACAGAGCCTGATGCTGGCTCCGATGTAGCCAATATTAAAACTACTGCAACCAGGAAAGGCGACCATTATCTCGTCAACGGCTCGAAGAAATGGATTACAAATGCTATTTGGGCAGATTATGTCACAGCAGCAGTTCGTACTGGGGGTGCCGGTGCGGTGGGAATATCGCTTCTGATTATTCCATTGAAAGCTCAAGGAGTTTCACGGAGAAATATGCACAATTCGGGAGTCGGAGCATCGGGTAGCACATTCATTACTTTCGATGACGTGAAGGTTCCTGTGGAAAATCTCTTACATAAAGAGAACCGCGGATTTGAGGTCATTATGTCTAATTTTAACGCCGAACGCAAAAGTATTGCTACATCGGCTATTCGTTTGAGTAGAGTATGTGCAGAGGACGCCTGGAAACATGCTTGTACGCGTGAAACATTCGGAAAGAAATTGATTGAGAATCCGGTGATTCGAGAGAAATTTGTGAAGATGGGAAGGATGATCGAACCTGCACAGGCATTTCTCGAACAATTGACTTGGTTGATCGAATTGAGTAGAAATAGGGGTGGAGAGAATGATGTGAAGATTGGGGGTATGACCGCCATGCTAAAAGTCGTTAGTACTCGATGTCTCGAGAAGTGCGTGAGGGAAGCCCAGCAAGTCATGGGTGGCTTGGGTTATGCTCGAGGTGGAAAGGGTGGAAGGTAAATTCGTTACAAATGTGCGGAAACAAGATTCCTGTTGACAATCTATTTAGGATCGAAGCCATTTCAAGAGATGTGCGTGTCATGGCTGTTGGTGAGTATCCTTCCTCCACCGAAGGTTTTCAACAAGGCCCGGTTTTTTTCTTGGATTATTGCTCACACTGACTTGTGTAGGTGGTGGAAGCGAGGAAATCATGAACGAACTTGCGATCAAGGAAGAGGTCAAAGATCTAAAGAAATATTCATGCGGCTCAATCAAGCTTTGATTGCACACGAATCTGATTCTCATGATTGTAAAGAAAGAATATGAGTACGTTCAGGCAAACCAAAATCTGCATTAGTCGCTTGATTCCAGGTGAATCAAAAGTAACAGTTGCAAAACGAGCTTACATTGGAGCTCAAACTTTCGATCGAGTCTCGACTCTAGCCCTAACTAATTTCTGCCTGAACATTCACCATTTTGAAAGAAAGAACTGTTGAATATCGTAAAAGACCTATCGTCGAATCTTGCGCTTCCCACTAAGCGATCCTGTAGTGTAGCAATAGAATTGGATACAAAGTCACGGTAGTACGAAGGTTTAATTTACAGAAGACCCACTTGCACGGACCAATCCACCTAGCCATATGTGAATACGGGTTACTGCCGATATGTATAGACTCAGCTCCATGCTGTGATGCTGACATAATGGTGATCTCCACAATACTACACTGGATCATTTCTTGGAAAAGAAAAGCTTGCGAAAAGCTTTATTTGCGTCTGTTTGATATTAAGGTACTCATTTATCGATTGAGATCTGAACAACTAATGGGCCTTCATATTTCAGGAGGCAGTGTAAATCTTATTCCGTGTGTAAACTCCGTACACAGGTTGATCAAACCAATTAGATTCGAGCCCCGCTGGACCATTTCACGCATTTACTTCCAGAAAATAAGATCGAATCGAATGTTGAGAGGTTGATATAGACCAGCTCGTCGCATCCACAAGGTGAATATCTATTCTAATCCACAACTTGTTATCTTCTCTTTTCCAACAATATCAATCAAGGACAATAACTATCCGGTCCCTCGCTTAGACATGTTGTTTACTACTAGTCGCGCTGAATCCTTCTTCATAACTAACTGTAACTTCATGGTGACGTTGAATGCCTCCATTTTTCGGAATTTGCGGTGGCTCTGAGACAATGCAAGTATCGCTATCGGTATCGGTATCAGCTCCTCCTCGCGTCACTTCTACATCATAATGGGTTCGATCTTTATTTCCTCGATTCATTGGCTTTAGGCCGTACTCGCCACCAGCAGTTGCGGCACTCTTTTGGTTCTCGTAGCCGTAGTTTTGGTAAGGTCCGCCGGTCGAATTTCCTCCTGTTAATCTGTTGTAGAGTGGTCGAAGTGCGGGGATGGAGACACAGATGAGAGTGGCTGTCAGTTCGGACATGGTCCACATGACAGAGTCACTGACAGCATCTGAATAGATAGTGTATTAGATTTAATTGATACGCCAATGTATGAGGCAAGGATGGAGAAATGAGTCCTCACATAAATAGTCATCAGTCTCGCCAAGAGCGTCCAGAGTCGTAGTGCGGACTACACCGCATATACCAGCACTAATTTCAAGTTATTAGCAATATCCCGCGGAAAAGTGATTAGAACTTACATGACTCCCAAACTTAAAGAAACACAGATTGTAATCTTTTCTTTTCTTTTCATATTGAGACCCCAGATAATAGCCCAAGGGAATGCTGCGAGAAAGAAGTCCATTGCTGCAGACCAAGCTAAAGAGACACGTTAGCTTTCAATACTACTTTTGTGATGGATGTTGGCGAAAGAACTAACAGCACATAATCTTCGCTATGATTGTCAAACTGAGTGTGCAGGTACCCTCAATTCTGGTATCCCAAATAGACTGGACTGGAGTGCATTGCGCAAATACAGCAATTGCCAGCAAGAAACTCAATGCCAGAATAGTCACAATCCAAAAATACAGTAACATTTTATGCCTGTGACGCTTCATTTAGTCTTTACTATTTGACAGCACGGGGCATTGCTAGGAAGTGCAACTTACCATGTTTTGATTACAATACGAATCAAGAATACCGCAACAGCGCACTTGCTTACTCCCATCGCGACTGCAATGAGGAACTGGCCGATCAAGAGCCATAATATGCCATTGGAGTTATTGTCGATAGTCAGTTGAGATGCATGTGTTCCCATGCCGTATGATACTGAGCGTGAAGTACATGCTGCAAAAGCCATCATCAAAACCTACAAGATTTCATTAGTCCAGCTCGTAGAAAAGCTGCATATAGCAATATTTCAAAATGTAGAACGTACCCAGCTGAGTATCAGAAGATAATCATCCATACCCACAGCGCCGCCGACATATTTCCGTGTATAAAATCGAAGACTAATAAACAGAAACGAAAGGGCGACCTCCATCCACAGGACGCCGAGCAGTTGTTGGCCCTTTGGCGTGAGTGGAACAGTCATCCTGTAAATCTTGAATACTGTAGTTGTGCTGTACGAAGTTGCTATCCGCAGAGATGCTTTCTTACCTTTTGAGACCAACCACTCGGAGTAAAGGTAAGGACGTATTAGGTTCATTTCAAAGTTTTAATGGTCTCTATGTATCTATCATTCTACATAACGAACTGGGATGGCTCAAGCCAGCAGTAGAGTTACGGGCCCTGGGAAATTGCTGCTATCCAAACACCTCGCGAAACTATTACAGCCAGTAGGAGTTTCCAAATTATAAGGTTTTTGCTTTAGTAACATCTGAAGTAGAACATCAGCTACAGGCAACGGCGGCCCTTGCTGAGTTATTCCGAGGGAATCGGACATAACCATCTTGAGAATATGGTGACAACTTGAAGCCGCATGAACATTGAACGGACAGGAAACAAAACGATGATTTTTTATAACATGTTACGATTTCTTCCAAATGCATCACACCATGCACAGAACTGGCAAGTAGGAAGTACTTTATCACACCCGCTTTAATGGACCCTATGGATCCATGAAACAAAAGCGAGATTTCACTTGGGCAGCAGGGCAAGGAGTAGACCCGTTGTTAAGTACCCACTCACTGTCAAGATACTCATGCCGCCAGAAGGTCCGCAACTCGGGTAAACCAGCACGTACCTGAGTTGAGGACTTTCTGGTGGCATAAGTATGGGACTTGACTGCCCCTATTGGATGCGAGGATTAATCCTAACGTATTATCCGATGCGTATTTGCTTTTCCCATGCTCGAATCGTGTTCAGGATTCTAGATGGTTGCGCGGGTATCTGTTCGAACTTCAGATATTCTATTCGTGGACCACTGCGACTGGAGACATTGATCTTCAGTCAAAACCCTTCATCTTAAATCGTGAATGCAAGGGAGTTTCGAAAACGGTATCGTACTTGAATTGTGCGAGTGATACGATTCAGGAGTCGAGACTTCTTACATGGATCAAATTAGCTATAGTTATTAGCTGGATATCAGGTGAAGGCTACTGTGTTTGGTCATAATATTTTGCCCCTGTTTAAATAACGGTGCAGAAGATATAGTCGAGAGGAAGTATTAAAGAAAAATTGAGATGGAAAAGACGTTACGAAAAGCACCCACGGTAAAGTCATGTCACACACGGAAGGCTCTTCCCGGAAGATCTTCGCTGCCCATCTTCGGATATTTACAACAGGGGTAAAATAGGTCAAATAGTGGAGATTCGAAAGTTTTGACAGCCCCGCATACTCCATCCCCGGCGGCATTCTGGCAAGTTTTGCGAATCCTAGTCGACTAGACTGCTGTGGGATTTGGGGACTAGCCAAAAAGAGGATTGTAATGTATAACGAATTCTGCTCTTACGCCTTGCGGCCTATCAGTGCCTAGTGGTTTAACAGTACTTTATGATTCCATTAGTTTTTCTCAGACTGGAAAAGATTTGACAGCGGGCGCTAGGAGCATACCTTAACTTTTAGATAGGTCTTCCATCGAATATCCTAGGGCACCCACACCCTTATCTTAAATTTCTAAGAAGTTGGTAGGAGGTCCACCTTTTACCGTTACAAAAATATGGAAACTCAATAGTAACCTTGTCACTTCTTGAGATGAGAAATTACATGGCATAGTGAGCACGGTTTTGACTTGCCATCCAAGGCTCCAGCTACGGGTACCACCAAAAGTATGCAAAATGACTGCTAAGATAACATTGTATTCCCTCTCGTAGTTTACCATTATGGGGCACATATCAACGTACCCGGATTTGCATATTTTCTGGCAGCATGACTATCTAAATCCAAAAACGAAAGGTCGGCCACCAGCTGCACGTTAAAACTTAGATACACGAGTATCTTTCATCTGACTCCATTCAAACGCTGTCTTCAACTCTACGCTCGAAGGGAAGCCATACCAGCGACGGCCTCAGTACAGTGGCATGAGACGAAATATATAGTAGCACATGAAGTATAAACCGCTTGAACGAACGGGATACGAGGTATGTGTATATATATTATTACTACCAAATCATCAAGACATCTTCATTATTTCGTTCCCGACGGTATTATATGTACTGAGGCGATTTAGGGCTGGCAGAGTCCGCATCAACAAGTCTCTTGCCGGCATCCTGGGGCTTGACAAAAGCTTTATGCGGCTACAGCCGATTCTGGTTTTGAAGGGTCTGTTGTTGACTCGGACTCATTGTAAAGAGCATCTTTCAGCTGTAACTCTACCTTGTCGCCAAAGGTAACATTAATTTCCTCCAATGTTAAACCCATCGTCTGCAGAATTGTTAGCCACAGATACCTCTGAAACATCGTTACTGGAAGCCTTACCTCTGGGAACCAAAGAACAATCATGATTGTTGTAATGACAGTGACAACAATGAGAATCATGTAGAATTTCCAGCCAATATTGTTCAAACCAACAGAAACGGGGGCGCTATAAGCGATAGCATTTCCAAAGAAACTGAGATATGTGATGGTGGAGCCCTCACTACGAAGATGAGTTGGCCAGATCTCGGAACCATAAACGTAGGAAGTACATTCGATTGTCGAAGTAAAAAATGCCCCCATGATGAAGTAAAGAGCAACAAGCGCTCTGACACCAGGGCCTGCGGGTGTACCTAGATAGTACTTGACCAATGCAGCCATTGTACTAAGAATAGCAGCCATTCCAAAACCGCCAATAACTAATTGGTGTCAGCAAAATCCAGTGCGATATCTTCACCACACTTACTCAAAAGCTTCCTTCTTCCAATACGATCCAAAAGAACGACATTAATTCCGCATCCGATGACGGCACACACAGACCAAACGATACCGAGACCCAATTGTACGACGGTGCCAAATCCAAGACCTGCCATAAATGTGGGAATAAGGTTTGCGATCGCAGTGATACCAGTACCTTGTCCCATGGTCCAAAGGATGATGGAAATGAAGGCGCGTTTCCTGAGATGTGGGGTAGAAAAGATATAGATGAAACCTTTTGGCAGGGCTCTTTCGGTGTCGACTTGAGCCTTAATCTGAACTGCTTCAGCACGGGCAAGGGTATTGTAAGGGTCTGCCGTGGTTTTGTGCAAGTATTCCAAGACCTGCTTAGCCTCCGCGTCTCTTCCTTTCTCCATCAACCATCTTGGGGATTCGGGCAAAAACCAAAGAGACAAGATGAGAAGACAAGCGACTCCACCAAGTACGACGAAAACCAACCTCCATTGGTAGTCAGCCTTGACAAAATTGAATCCCAGTGCACAGACTGCAGCCATAATGTATGCAGTGACAATACCAACACCCTGGAGTCCAACAAGCATGCCGCGATTATGAGGAGGTGCAACTTCACTCATATACACTGGAGAGTTGGCAAGAACCATGCCTGCACCAACACCCGTGAGAACACGGCCAGCAATGAACATGGCGACATTGACAGCTCCGGCTGATATTGCAGCCGCAATAATAACGATGAGGGCGGCAGCTCCGTTGGCGATACGTCTCCCGAACTTGTTAGAGATCGGGGCTTGTAGGAGACATCCAATCATAGCACCACCGAGGAATCTAATTGGGATGTCAGTTGGCGGAGGTCAAGGAGAATAAGCTACTTTACTTACCCTCCAAGCATTGCATCTGTGAGCTGTAGAGCTTGAGAATTTGTCAAAAACTTGGCGATAAACGTTGGCTGTGCAACTGTGCCCGAAATCGCGTTAGCGGCAAATCCGTAAAGGAAGCCACCAAGACAAGCTGTAACTAAGACCTAAATGTCGTTAATTATCGCCCTTTTCCAAAGAAAATCATTTCGTACCATAACATTGACAAAGCTTGTATGTTTTGGAATTTCAACTTCATCAGCCCGGCTGGAGTCTCCCTTCTCCAAAGATTGCTTCTCATCAATTTGTGGCACCGGTGCCCTAGCCTCTGCCTCTGCCATGTTTAGAGTTGTAGGGAAATTTGCTGGAGGCGACAATCTAAAGAAAGGAGAAATGGCTCGTTGGAAGTCTTTCTAAAGCATTGTCTGAAGTAATGATGAGGTCTAAAGCTGATGGGAATGAGCTTATAATAAATCGATTGTGCCTTTCAAGGCCAAATGAGATTCCTGGCTGCCATACCTCGTGCCATCGGGTATTATTTCCCCAATACATCTCAAAAACGGCAGTCCCCAACGCTAATTGAGAATCTCTGCTGATTTCCACAATCCATATTGCCGAATTTTGCCTAGGGGTCTACAATAAGGATCGAGTCCGTCTCTGTAAGAAGATCGGATAAATTTGAGGTCTAGTTCGCATCGCATGTTGCAAGGGTTGCACGTTGCCATTCAATTGATAATCGTTCGATGAACATCGTCTAGTAGCGTATAGGTATAGTATAGCAGGAGTCCTATACTGGATGCAGCAGTACGACTATTGGAAGTATAAAGCCGCTAAAACACAGCTGCCAATCAATCTCTCAAACCGATCCTCCATTGCCATGAGCTTGAGGTTAGGGGTCCAGGCGCTCGGTTTACCCCAGAACCTGCAGTAGAGTGCTCCCTGGCCCTGCTGCTAAATCTTTTGGGATTGGGAAGATCAGAAATGTCAAGGTATGACTAGAGCCCAAAAATCGGTTCGATATAGTATAGCACCCCTTTGGGCCAACTCACGTACACCGCTAAAATGATACCCGCAGTGGATCAAAATACCAGGTCCAGCCCCACAGCCATCCATCCGACTAGCTTGAACAGTTGTAACTTTCTTCAACGGCTCCTGATGCAGCATCCGGAGTATCCTCACTTTAAAGCCTATGTGTAGCTCATTCCTATCTGGCATTGATATCCTTCATTCAATATGGCTCTGCACGAGAAACCAAAATTTCATTCCTAATTGCGTCAATCACGGACTTTATAACTTTTGTTTTACATCACGAATAAGATGGATATTCCAGAGGCTACTATCTACCCTGTGCTAAAGGGTAAGGTTGCGATCGTGACTGGCGGCTCACAAGGTATGGGAAAGGCTACCGCGTCAGTTTTCTTACGAGCTGGTGCTCAGGTGGTTATTGCCGATGTAAAGGAAGCCGAGGGTCAAGCCACCGAGAAGGAGCTCTCTCAGTTTGGGGAGATTGCTTTTGTGCGATGCGACATTTCCAAGTCAGCAGATGTCCAAAACCTCATCGCAATAACAGTCGAGAAGTTCGGTAAGCTCGATGTAGCTGTCAACAACGCCGCCTTCACGCCGGACAGGACACAGCTTATTGAATTCGATGAAGACTACTGGAACAATCTCGTAGGCATCAACCTTACTGGTACAGCGTTATGTTGCAAATGGGAAATGCAGCAAATGCTGAAACAGGGAACGAAAGGCTCCATTGTCAATATCGCATCCATCAACGCATTTAGACCACAATTGTATATGCCTGCATATACAGCAACGAAGCATGCTATCATCGGTTTGACTAAGCATGCCTCTATGGAGGGAGGACCAAAGGGTATTCGAGTCAATTCTGTTGCGCCTGGCGCTATTTTTGTGAGTTCACCACTATGTGCTGATCACGGGAGGCCTGGAGGAAACTAATATGGGACAGAGTGACATGTCGGCCGCCGCATTGAAGATCATTGGAACGACTATGGAAGAATTTGCTCCAATTGTGAGCAACTTGAATCGTTTCGGAATGGCCCATGAGGTTGCACAAGCCTCGCTGTGGCTCTCGTCAGACAATGCATCATATGTCACTGGCGTTTGTTTGCCCGTAGATGGAGGCTATCTGGCGAAATAGTCCAGGATCTTGTCAGGTTGTAAAATAAAACCAATCGAGAAATAGATTTCATCTGGCCAGTTTGGATTTTCCATAAATCCTTCCCACCATACCATTCCAATCATGAAGCTGCTTTCGTTAGAACCGATCGATCTTCAGATTCTTCACATCTGTATTTTACTCACGATACTATAGTCAGTATCCCAACTTTATCTGGCAATTTGCCACGTTTTATACTGGCATGTAGCGTGACAACCTCAAGGAGGTCTAGACTTTGGCATGTTTTCACACATGGCATGCCATTACAGACAGTCGTGTGGCTCTGAACTGTGCATAGATAATCACTCAGTCGAAACCTACAGATGGAAATGATGCCGGGGTACAGTAGTATACGTTTCTCCCTTCATGTCGCATGAAAAGAATGATGCATTCCGCAACGTACCCCTTGCGACCGGGAACCAACCTCCCATTTTACTTTCATACTACGAATACCTCATAAAAATGTCTTAAAACGATAATCATATATACCCGAAGCGCGATATGCGAAGTAATGATAAAAGCCCGCGATGATTGCTCTGCAAGTCTCCCATATCGATAAGACACTCCTGTGGCAGGTTTTGGTAAATATTTATTGCTTGAATTGGTGAGGCCCACTGTTCAGATAAAATTTTCGTGGGGGCAACTTCGATTCCTTAGATTAAATAAAGGCTGGAGAAAGAGACATCAAAAGGGAAACTACTCCCAATACTGCGATGATCTTTAACACTAATGAACCCTCCGCGATCCTGGATAAAGTGAGGGGCAGGCGGAAGTTGGTACTGACAAGGGTTTTTGCATGCATTGGGCGGGCAACTACTATGGGGCCGGCATGCGCCCCGCTGTTTGAGAAGCTAGGATGCGTTCAGTCCCGTCCCTCAGATATTTAGATATGCGTTTGATGAATGGGAATCTGAATAAAGGATGCGTTTCAATTTTCCAGATAGGCGGATATTGTAGTGTGTGGAACTAGACAATGTTAGTTTGCAAAGTATACATTGTACAATATTGATATTCAAATAAAATGAGACCTGTGCCAATGTTTCTGAGTCTAGACATAGATATGGGACTTTGCACCTAGGAGAATAGGATTGTGGTTCCAATGTTGCCCCACCTACTATGCGCTCCAAGAAAACATACGACGGTGGAGTAGAAGCCAACATCCTGGGTCAATGGTGAGGCAGACTTTCTGTCGGCAGCAGCGACGGGTTGGGGCAAGCCGGAGCTCTGCTAGACCGTAGTTGCTGGTCAATCCAACATCCGACTTTTTTTGTTTTGAAAGTCCAGCTCGATTTTGAACCATCCATCGCAGCAAGCTTAACAGGTAAACATGTCAGAAAAAGAGCTACCTTCACGGCCTGCCGCAGAGTCTCGAGTCCACGAAGGTAAACTAGCTATCGTGACTGGATCAGCCAGAAGTAAGCTATGGCACTAAAACTCTAATGTTTACATCATGCTTACCGAACCCTAGGTATTGGTGCTGCAATAGTTAAAAAGCTAGCCAGCAAGGGCTGTAATATAATCATTAACTATGCCACTGCTTCCTCTGACAAGGTGGCGGCTACTCTCAAAACTGAACTCGAGTCAGCCCATTCCATTAAAGCGATCACCGTTCGCGCAGACATAAGTACTACTGCTGGCTGCGAAAACATCATCGCTACCGCAAAAGAAAACTTCACGAATCCCAAAACCAGTGCTCTACAAATCGATATTTTGGTACACAATGCCGCGGTGTTATATGTCGGGCCACTTGAAAGTGTTATCGAGGAGGAATTTCACCATATCTACGCTGTGAATGTGCTAGGTCCAACACTATTGACAGCAGCCTGCAAGCCCTTTCTACCCACCGATCGATCCGGTCGCATCGTGATGATGTCTAGTATCAATCCCAAAATCGGAACACCAAATACGACATTATACTCGGGTACGAAAGCGGCGATGGAGGCAATGACTCGTGTGTGGGCAAGAGAATTGGCCGAGAATGCCACAGTTAATGCTATAAATCCCGGACCTGTCATGACTGACATGTATTTGTCTGCTTCCGAGGAAATTAAACAAGGATTGGCGTTGTGGAATCCATTGACGCCGTTGGCCCCAGTTAGAGAGACTGATAGCCCGGAAGTAAGAGAGTTGGGCGATCGGTTGGGTGGGAGAGCGGCTTATGACCACGAGGTTTCGGGGATGATTGCCATCATTTGCGATCCAGATTCATCGTGGATGACGGGAAGTCTGTTAAGTGCCAATGGTGGGCTCTCTTTTAGTATGTAGGCGCCAGTTAGCAACCAAAACAAAGGTCCACGAGAATGATTTTCGTACCATTCGTTGCATCTGTACTCGAGTATGAGGTAACCATGCTCAAATGACTACCATTAATCTCAGCTCATGATGTCCAGGGCCTACCTGTGATAAGATAAACGGCACAGGCTACCATATCGCATTATGGCAATGTAACTCAATAAAATACAGTCGAATATACACTCTACATCTGAATGTCGTGAGTTCCGAAGCAACGACCGGCACTGTCAGCTTGAGGAAGGTGTATGGGTGTCAAGACATGCGCTAAATCACGTTACTGTACTATGCACGGACTATTCTGACCGTCAAGATAATCTATGCAAACGTCGGACCTTTTCTGACTAACTTTGCTATGAGTAGCACTGTATGTGCACACTTTTGCACATACATCCTCAAGCCTTTGCTCTAGCTATCCCATACCATAGCTTCGATCTCAGCTATAGCCGGGATCATGAATGTATAGGTAGCTCACCTAGAGCACTACCCTAGCAGAGATATTGGCAAGACGCATCTAAAGCAACGGTATACTACAAACATGACGCGAACGAAGTTGATCAACATGGACTCGGGGACACTTGAACCATATGCAATTAGTTCCATGCCACCCTATTTCGCAGCCTCTCATGCATGGTCCGACAATATGTTTGCGATACACACCGAGTACAAAAACACACTTGGCGGATTGATGATCGAAACTTCCGTCCGCAAGCTCTTTCCCAAGATCAACTATTGCTGGATCGACACAATCTGTATTGATCAGAACGACGAAGAAGACAAGAAAAGTCAAATCCCTCTGATGGGTGACATATACGGGAATGCGCTAGCGGTATTAATTATCACAACCTGTGATTTTCCAAGTTGGATGACACAGGATTACTTGGATCAACTCAGCAAGGCTTTGGATGAAGCTATCGCAATCTCTATGGAAGAAGAATATACGGAGACTATGTCGGAGTACTGGGCGTACGGTGATGGACGACAAAAGATTATTGAAGGGATGGATTGTCTTGAATTATTTACCAGGACCCGTTGGGCTGACCGAATTTGGACACTCCAAGAGTACATTCTTGCTCGACAGATTGTGTGGCTTGGCAAGGAAAGTGCATGTCTTCGAATAGATGACGTATTGTTTAGGGCATTGCCTGACTTATGTGATGTGTTCGATATTGGAGAAGCGGTAGGTGGAAAGTATTCTAAAGTATATGAATTTTATACGGGTATGGTTAATGCTGGAGACGGAAAGATCGACCGGACTCGTGTGATGGAACTTTTGGGAAATCGCACCGCTTCCTTTCCCGACGATGAGATTTATGGTGCAATGGCAGCTTCGGGGGTAGTTATACAACCAGGAGTCGTGACTGGTCAGGATAATGTCTGGGCTCTTTGGTGGGAGGAAGCCATACGTCAAGGGCATCATCGCTGGATGTTTCTTCCTCCAGTCGTCTCTAAATTGATCGGAACAAATTGTATAATGCCGCCGTTTAAGACACGTCATAAATCCTCACAGTATTCAGGACTGGATACAGTACATCTCGAAAAAGGCCAGGTCACCATTTCCGATGGAACTATCAATATATTTGGGCACTGGGCTGGTTCTTGTCATATGATCCGGCGCTTAGGCAAGGTTTTCCGAGATGAGAATGGGGGTCTTCTTCGAGATTTGACAGTCATTCTTTTCGCCAGCGGTAGTTGGCAGTTAGCCTTACGACTTGTTGCAGCTTTCGGTGGAGGTAGGTACTCTTGGAAGCAGTGTTTAGCAATTGGACAAGTTCTGAAAGCAAATTTCAGTCGCGCTAAAAGAGCCGTTGAATCCCATAAGGAGCATAAGATGAGATGTCGAAGGCAAACCAATTATCAGAGGACCGTCTGGGCTGACTTTATGCGACTTATGATGAGTCAGATGACTCCATTGAATGATAGCGTAGCTTATCTTGCTCATCTTACGAACACGTTGAAGTCAACAGATATCATTATAGTGAGTAGTGACAATCAACCGCTTCATGATCTTCATGCTCTTCATTTTGGTATACAAGATGTTAGCGAAAGGAGTCCTTTTATGATTGTTTCTGCGCCAGACTCTTATGTATCAGTTCAAGACGGCCATCACAATAAAGCTCTTCACAAAATTGGCATGTCTCTCCCTACCATTGTTTGTTCGACGTTGCGTAAAGCAGGTGCTTACAAATGTCACGTAATCGACTCCGAGTTGCATAACTTCAACATCGGAGGAAAATCATGCTGGTTTTGTTCAAACACTGGGGACATGGCGGTGTCTCAATGAACTGCGAAGCTTTCCAGTGATGGGCTATGTCAGCTAGTATAGGTTACTTCTCGACTGTCTCGTCAAGTTGAGTTGAGAAGCCAGTAGGCACGCATTACATTCTTATCATACTCTCCCAGTTTAATACCCAGGCTAATTTATAGACAGAAAACTCTGAACTTGATGATTCTCCACAATAGGACCGACACAGTTTAAGATACAATATTATTTACAGTACATGAATCAAGAAAAACGCAATGAGACTTGGACATCTCAGAGCTAGAGCCCCCTTCTTTTGATAGCTGCTCCAGTCGACGATGGGACTTTCGAAGTAGCAAAAGTCGTTAGCGAAACCGATGTGACTTTAGGAATACTTCCCGAGGAAGATGTTACGCCGCTAGTCTCTGTCGAATTGTTGCCCATACCGTTCCACTGTGAAAGAAGAGCTTGGATTCCTGAAGCCACACTACTAGCTTTGGCAGAATTGAAAGCTGTAGCTTTTACCCCACTCTGTTCCACCTTATTCGTCGTCCACGAAGCAATTTTTATAGAAGCTTGAGTACATGAGGCGACTGTTGTTTTACCACTGATGATTTTGGTCGATGCGGTACAAGCTGATGTGATGGTGCATCCTGCCGTGATGGTCGATCCACTGGTTACATATGTTGATGCGCTACAAACAGAACTAGTAGGTTTGCAAGATGCTGTCATTGTGGCTCCACTTGTGACGTACGTGGATGGTCTGCATGTTGAGCTCGAGGAGACTGGGACACCGGTACATTTGGCAGTGTAGGTGGAACCGGCAGAAACATAGGTGGATGCAATACAAGCAGATGTGGATGATGATCCTGACAGAGTAGATGGGGTTGAGCCTGTCAAGGTTCCGCTGCTTTTGGTCATGGATCCCGTGATGGATCCCGTAATAGAGCCCGGGATGGAGCCAGTTGAGGATGCAGACGAAGTGGTGATAGAAGAGGTTATAGAAGATGAAGATGAAGACACGACTGATTTAGTAGTGGAAGCTGATGTCACTGATGGAACTGACACGATAGAAGAGCTCGAGGTACTTTGGGAGCTGCTCAACGTTGTCTTCGATGTAGAACTCGTGACGACAGGAGCAGGACTAGTACTTGTACTACTTGGCGTAACCACGATTGACGAAGAAGTTGTTGCTGTGATGGACGTGGATGCCTGAGAAGTGGTAGTTTGAGAAGGAGCTTTGGTAGTGGTTGGCGGTGGGGCTTGAGCTGTCGTCGTTGAAGTTGGCGCTTTGGTGGTCGGCTGCTGGACTGCCGTCGTTTTCTTGGTTGTTTTGCCAACACCTCTCTTCAACTCTTTCTCGTTGGTGATAGGAGGATCTGGGACTTCAGTCGGAGAAGGAATGCCCACGTCGCCCAGCTTTGCCCAAACTGCAATGATTTGTTAGTTATACGTCTCGACGCTTTGGATAATAGAATTACCTTGACCATGTTCACCCACGTATGCTTGCGTGCTGGTACCATCGATCACAGTGTCAATTAGAATGGGACTCGTGAGGGCCGCATACTCGGTAAGAAAAGATGCGAGAAATGTTGCTGTAGAATCTTGACTTCTTATGACAGTGGTCATAGGAGGGAGCCCGGCAACGCCGAATGAAGTACAAGGTTCGTGTTCTAATCCAAGGGAAGACTCGTAGAGACATAAATTATATGCTTGCTGACTCAATATCGAAGCTTGAGAAGGGTTGATTCCAGATGCTGGGGCAGCATAGCTTGAACCAAAGAGCAATGACGACTGCAAAACTGCCAAAATCGTTCCATCACGAATGAAAGCCATATTTTGAGTTTTTAAGAACCGAAATTAAGACTGAATGTAGGAAATTCAAAGGATGTGATTGTCGACGAATCGATAAAAAAAAGAGTGACAGGAACAAAAGAATGAGAAAAATAGATGTTTGGATTTATCTCATGCACATAATGGCGACAGATTCTTTATATTTTCCTTTCTCCATATTCTCGAGGTCTATGAGGTTCATGAGACTTTGCCAAACGAAGCTAAACTTAAGCATTGAAAATCCTCTCAGGGGTTTTGTTCATCGGCAATATTGTATATTTGCAGCCAAAGTCACGGGAAAATAAGCATAAATTTCGATTATGTTGTCAGCAACGCCATTGATGATCCCTCAGGGGTATTGTCAACATCTGGGAAGGAAGAGGTTGAATCTAGTACACAGATTTCTCAGCATGTAAGCATTCAATATGCCGCGATTAGCACTCCTTTCGCTTACTCACGACATCCTTTGCCCCCAACTCAATCCCAATCTTCAACACAGGCTTTGTTTAGAGACTGTAGGAATAACATGTCAAAATGAGCATGATGGAACCCTTAAAATTCGTTCGTATTTCCTCGAGCAATTTGAGGTAAAATCCTCTCTTCTAAGATCATATCTTGGCGGCTTTGTATCAAAATAGAATTATGAGAAGTAATCAGCGATGAAAAGTTGTTTCCTTTCTGGAGTCCGTATATAATTCCGGCTGTCTCGATGTGCAGTCTACATCACCAGCTCATTCATTGACATTCCTTTTCATCGACTTCTCAAAGTCGTTCTTTTGAACCCATACATTCGTTTTCAGTGTACACATTCTTTTTATTTCATCATGAAGTTTCTCAAATACCTAATTTCGCCAGCCCTAATTGGGTTGTCGAATGCGGTCAGTCTTGATTCGCTGTTCAACACGAAGACGATGGGACCTGGTGGTCTTGGTACACACAAGGCGATTGTACAAAGTTGGTTAGATGATACCGTTCTACTCGTCAACGCTGCTTTGGATGGTATCAATGCTTATGATTCCGATCCAAATATGCAAAATAATCTTTTTGCGTATTTTGGTATCAGGCCGACGAAGGCTGGCAGACCATATGCTTCAGATAACTCTAAACTTACAACTGTGAGAAGTAAGTTACCATTCTTCCAAGCTCGGCTTGCGTTCATTGCTTTTATATCAGTACACACACACAAGCAATATACTAACCATAAGTTTAGCCACACTTGAAAGTGTACAGAAATTTCTTAACCGACAGAACGTTAGATTTACAGTGGAAGGTGATGGCACAGGAAAGCCATCACTTTTCTATGATTCTACGTGGCAAGTAGAAACAGAACTCATTTTCAGCCCTGATGGAGCAGTGGTCCCAGACCCGAAAGACGCTACCAAGCAGGCCAATTTCCGTACCTTCGTGGGCTCGGTCGACGCATCCACGGACAGCTTGATCGCAGAAATGAAAGAGGGAAGATCACCAAACTGGAGTAAATACGCATACTATTCCGCGGACCTACGCGACTACGTAATTGAGACAAAGGCAAACCGATATCCGGGGAGCCCGCCTTCATGGTGTAGAGGAAGATCAATGTCGCCCGAGGAGCTTCGATTTGGGCTCACGAATACAAATTTGTATCGTGATGTTATCACGCTTTGTCCAGATGCATTTGGGACGGACTCCGAGCCATATGAAACAATCGCCGCTGCTATGGCATCGACGGAGGCGAGAACTGTAGGCGAAGAACTTGATAAAGCTTCTCCGAGATCATTGACACTCTTCCACGAGTTGATCCATTTGACTGTTGGGGATGGGGCTGATGCAACACCGGATAGTGCTAGTAAGTTGATTAGTTCTCATGATGTTTATGTTGCGTGACTAACAGATATGTTCGTAGCCAAGCCAACTGAGTGTCTGGGACAAACACTCAATAAGCAAGGCGCTAAAAGTCTCTTGAACCCAGACTCTTACGTCTTCTTTGCGTGGTCATACTATCTTACCAAGAACGGAAACCCAAAATATGAATGGCAGAGTGGATTCGCCGTGGCGTAAATATTTGTTTAAAGGGAAGACTTGGGGAAAGATGAGGGGTGTATTAGCTTTTGTATATATAATGTTATCTTGCAGGACTTTAGATTAGTGGATTGGGTCGCGTTACATATGTGTGAGCCTATCTATGGATTAGATTCATGTAATCTTTCTAGTCACTAAAATCCGCAGCAGGATAATGTCACTGACTTGCAAAATCAAACAAATCGAAAGCTTTCCAGAGCCTATCAACCTTTTACTGCGAATATATAACAATTGTTGTGAATATAGGGTAGCTGACAGCAGGTTTCGAACAGTGGTTAAGATTTATTCTTGTATCCATTACTGTCGTGCTTTGAAGCCGTGGTCAAAAGAATATGAATGATGACTGTATCCAGTTCAGAAATAATTTCTGAACAGCTTCTGTACTCGACACATGTAAAGAATGATTTTATGTACTGCGTCAAACATGGGGGATTGCAAGATCGACGAGCCAAAAGAGGCGTGCACAGCCACACACTCCACTATGTTGCAGGCCAAAAATCTATGCTGGGTGCCATTTAAGAACTTCAATTTCACCATACTGTCTCTCTTTCTAAACTCACCCAAAGTATCATGCGAAATAGGTTGAGAAAATGGAATCCAGCAAAAATCGCGTCCCATATGATCTCCTCAACCGCGAGAAACAAGAATTTCGGCTTCTGAATCTCAAACCATCGCAGGATTTTGATTCTATAATCGAATGTTCACTCTTCACCTCCACTCTCAAGAAACCTCCGCTATATGAAGCCTTGTCTTATGTTTGGGGCGACGCAACTAACACAAATTCAATACTTGTCAATGGTGAAGCCTTTGAAATTACCACAAACTTAGAGACTGCTCTTCGATATCTCAGAACTCCTTTGGAAATCCGAGTGCTTTGGATTGATGCAATTTGTATTAATCAATTGGACAATGGGGAACGCAGTCATCAAGTAACTTGCATGAAGGATATCTACGAAAATTGTTGGAAAGGTCTCCTGTGGCTAGGACCTGGATCTAAAAGTATGGATCGCGGAATGGAGATTGCTCGGGGCCTAAATTTCTCACACATAAAACCTGATCGGCAATCCGAACGGATTGAAGATATCGTGAATGTGGAAGAGACAGCCCAGGGAGAAAATTCCGACGATGATACCATCACACATTCTCAGCTGATTGGTAGTACCGCAATTGGTAGAAGAACATTCTTTGCACTGGCGTGCGTGTTTGTTCGTCCTAATCTATGGAAAAGAGTTTGGATCATGCAGGAAATAGCTTATGCACCACAGCCAGTTTTAATTTCAGGCCACTCGACACTGCCATGGACGGCTTTAGAAGACTTCCTGGTCACCGTGGATGTGTTCCCAGATGCTTTTCATGAGACATTCGGTCATCGCTGTTATCATGAAACTTTCAAGACGGCCTTTTCAACGATTCAGGCCATACAACATCAAAGATTAATAGTAAAAAATATGGACAAGGGTCGAGATTCTCATATCTTGGATGTTCTAGCAAGGTTCCAGACAGCTTCTTCAACCGATTCAAGAGATAAAATGTTCGCACTCCTGGCTCTATCTTCGAATACCTTGGGAATGAAAGCGGATTATTCGGCAAGCACGAGAAGCGTATTCACGAAATTTGCCACGGCATATATCAACCATACCGAAAACCTTGATATTTTATGTCAGAGCCGATGGGGGTTTCATAACCATGAAGAAGACGTCACAAATGGTATACCGTCATGGGTTCCTGACTTTGAACAACGGAAGCCTGTTCGCTTGATATTCGCCCAGAGAGGTATATTTGGTGCTGGAGGGTCGAAATGCAGATTACCTTGTAATGTGACAGATAAAGGTGAATTGATCGTGGATGGGGTGACTTTAGGTGAAATAAGGAAATTAAGTAAAGAAACCCGCAAGAGTCAAATTGCAGAGTGGATGCCGGATGAGATCAAGGCATTGGAAACATCACTGTATGCCCCGTTCATTTCAATGAATGCCGAAAATGCTTTCCAAGCATTTTGGCGGACTCTATTGAGCGACTGCTTTCGATACCCCATGCGTCGTCTCAATGAAGAGGAGATCTCAAGCTATGGCTCCGTCTTTACATCTTGGAAACGTGGAGACACCACAACAATCGAACTGCCGAATTTTGATATGGCAGCTGAGCTTTCTGATAGAAGATTTGCCATCACAGAGAATGGTCTTTATTGCTTGACTACTCTCGATGCATTGGATGGGGATTTGATTGTGGTTTTGAATGGTGCCAAAGTTCCGGTAGTATTGCGAAAAAGGACTGGGAATCCAGGAGGATCAAGAGATAAGTGCGAGTACGTATTAGTCGGCCCAGCATATGTTCATGGACTCATGGATGGGGAAGCGATGATGCTAGCCGATGAGGGTAGACTCGAAAAGCAAGAATTCATACTCGCATGAGAGTAGTATCTAAACAACTGCATGTGGCACGACCAAATTGCTCAAGTGTCCAATACATAGTAATACACTCTACTCTGTTGAAGTCTTGAGAGTAAATCGAAGGGAAATATCAATCTTCCACTAGGAGAGGCAATGACTCTTAGATGGTCCCCTTCTTCTTAGTCGGCATTAATTACCAATGAATCTGTGGTAAACGGAATCTTCTTGATTTTCACAGCTAGAGTCCGTCGTCCAAGAATGTTTGTGTTCGAACTGAGATGATCAAAAATGAGCGGAGTCGAGACGTGACGGAAGGGACGAAAGTGACACTATTTAATCCTGTACCGCTATTGAAGTGAAGTATACGATATTAGATGGAGACGCAATACTATCTCAAAAACAACCTGTGTTTTGCATTTGCAAGAAAGTAGAGTCACGAAAGGCCATAATCCGTTGATTGTGGTTGATGGTACCGGTGCAGCGCGCTGGCAATTATCAAGGCGGTTCTCGCATCATTGGTGAACAACACTGGGCAAATAATCAAATCAATTTTGATCGGCCAAGTATCGCATGGTGTGTTGTAAGAAATAATGCCGTAGAGATAGATGTTTATTCATTAGAGCTGCTCAAGCAATGATGTGGTCGCTTCACGAGCGGCCGCTACCGTGACATTTAGCCCTCATCATATAGGCACAATAGTCGCTAAAATATAGTGATGTCTAGCACCATAGCTCCATGGGAAAACCTAATCAAGGTACTAATACCACTGACTACCATCTACTCTTCCGCATCCGTTTCCTCCATTTCTCGTTCCTCCTCAGATGTATATTCCCAGAATTTCCAAGGGATGGTCTCAAATTTACAATGTACTTCTTCCATTCCCAGCATCCCTTCACTTTTCAAGCCTTCCACCCAATCATCAAATATACCCTTTGTTTCTCCTGTTTTCGTAACGAATCCAGATCCCGCCTTAAACTCCTTTTCTCCCTCTTCACTATTCCAATAATGCATATATCTCATAACCCTAGTTTTGTTTCCCTCGAATTCTACCAGTCCATTCAACCACCCCTTGGTCGCTCTTCCATTGTATGCACTTTTACCTGATTTCTTCCCAGGAGCGAAGAAATATACCAGGCCTTTCAGATTGTTCACTCTCGTCTTTACCTCGTCCTCTATATCCTCCGGAAAATAAACATCCATAATCCCGGTGTAATCCGTCAAAATGTTCCAGAAGTCGCCTGAAAATCCAGCGTGCGTGACAACTGGCTCTTTTCCATCCGAAAGCTCTCTCATCGCTTGCAACTGTTCTTTATGAACATCCGATTCCTCGAATTGCTGTATGGCTTCGAAACTTTCCCAACCAGTGACAAGCCATACTTCTTCGGGCCTCTCGATCAATCGACCCCATACTCCATGCTCAAATCCTGGCTGAGATTCTTTCGTCAGAGGTTTGATGATTTCAAGCCATTTCTTGCCGTCTTCTGATTTACTCTTTGAGAGGGTTCGGTTGATGGGAATTTGAAGGACGGTCCAGGATGTAGGGGCCGTCATTCGTGAGACTTGACTTTTCGGCATGCTGTTTTTATTATCTTGATGTGCGGGTCTGGAAGGTGAGATATGAGGTTATAGTAATTTCAAGGGTCGAAGAAGGCTTATTATTATAGACTTGTTGTGGTGGAAGGATGGCGGGGTAGCACTCCTTGCTGAGAATAGATGTATAAATAGATATCGCTGACTGTATTAACTCATCTACACATTCAGTGGCGGTGACAACAACTAATAAACCTACCAATTTTGTAACTCTGCAAGAGAATGTTATTAAGTTCGTCAGAACAAAATAGACATACTGCGATTGGTAACGAAATGGTTATGTCAAAGACCCTATAGTGTAGGGCTGTAGATGTACTAATGCCTGTAACTTGAGTGGGTCTCGGCAAAAAAAAAGTCTATAGAGATTTTCATAAATACAATATGAGTATTGTCTAATTTTTTGTTTCATTTAAATTTACTAACGTGGTTTATCAGTGCGTCGCGCATATCAGTGCCTCGCGCACTTTTTCACTACTCAATCATTTCAAAATATTATTCAATAATCACAATATATAAAATTAATTAAAACTATTCAGAATCTGATAAACTAGAGTCTTCTAAATCCTCCTGACAAGTTCGTATATTATAACCAGTTTTACCACAAAAGCCACAACGATATAAAGTTGATTGTTCCTTATTTGAATTACTCTTTTTAAAGCATTCATTATATCTGTGACCAAAAGGGTATAAACAGGACTCCGATTGTGTACTTAGAATCTACAAGTGAAGAGCTATGTAGGATGCTAAAAGGAGGACTATATATACAGGTATTGGGAGCCATAAGGGCTGGGCCAAAAAGGGTGAAAGAGTCCTAGGCGTAAGATGCCTAGGTCTAGAGCTATAGAGCTAGGGCTCTAAGCTGTGAAAGGAAGGTCCAAAAGAGCCGTCATATCATACTATGTATGTAGTATGAGCCAGTGGGCGGAAGAGAGCCGTCTGTTCCGTCACAATATCGAATCTGATTATCTATATCGATCTGTAATATAATATCATATTCATCTTATATACTAAGTATTTCTCCTTGATAAATTCGATTCTTTTTAGTTCTACAATATTTATTCAATATCTTATTTGTCTTTCGAAAAATACAAATCTCAGTACTTATAAATATTATCTCATAAACTAATATTTCTATACCCTTAGTTAAAACTGCAATTATTTCAAATATAGGTATAGGAGAGTTTCCTTGATGTTATGCAATTCGATTTTTAATTAAAGTTAATTATAAAAGAGTATCGTTCGAGTTATAAAATATTTGAGAAACCCAAGGATTGAGCTCTACAGAAAATGAATCTGGTAAATATAAATATTTGTAATTTGATATCTAGCTTAGAAATAATAGTTTGAGAATCAAAGAGTATTAATCCAATTCTGCAGAATCCAGATAATCCATTTTGAACAGTTATTGATTGTAAATATGCTGC